ATAAGAGAGTGTGTTCGGCGAGTCTTGGCCTACATCTGCCGATATAAAGAAGATGTCTTCCAGTGACCTATCCACCTTCCTGGAAAGGACAGGATGGACGATGACCCAGGAGGATGTACGGTGGGTCACATGTGGTCTAAGTGCTGTGGGCCTTTACTCATCCTCCCTACTCTACAGATACAGATACGAACTTGAACTGAATTCAGAAAAACTAAAAATTTAATATGAGTTGCGATCTGTTTTGTTTCAAATTATGTTGAAAAAAATTATTTTTTGAAATTTGACAATTTTATACGAAGTCATCCCTTGAGTAAACATTTTTCAAATCTTTTGGTGATACAGGTGAGTCCGATAAGCTAGTGAATTTCGTTGTTCATCTGTTGACAGTTACTCATCAAAGTTTTAGCCATTTTAGACGCCTAGTTGTTATGTAACAGTTGTTTGGGTGAATTGATGTGAGTATTTTATGAAAATTGACAAAATCGAGTATCGAGCTGTCATTGAATATTTGTTTTTGAAAGGCAATACGCCCACGCAAATCAAAGATGACTTGGATTATGTGTATGGGGATTCTGCACCATCATTTACAATAGTGAAATTTTGAGCAACTGAATTCAAACGTGGCCATAAGAGCTTGGGAGACGATGAACTTTCAGGATCTCCAAAAACTGCACCTACCGACAAAAATATCACTAAAGTTCACCAAATGGTGCTAGACGACTGCCGAATTGAAGTGAGAGACATAGCACAGGTTATGGACATGTCAAGAGAATGTGGTTGTCGCATATTGAATTAACATTTAGGCATGCCGCGTTTGCTCACGTCAGACCAAAAAAGCGTTCGAACGAACGTTTTCAAAGCTCTGTTGGCGCAGTTTAGGCGCAGTAAATCCAAGTTTGGGTGCCGATTAATTACTGTAGATGAAACTTGGATACACCATTATACGTCCGAAACAAAAATACTGTCCAAACAGTGGACTGCAAAGAGGAATTTGACTCCAAAAATGCAAAAACTATTTTTTGTCTGAGAAAGTGATGGCGACTGTTTTTTGTGATAGTCTGTTACTCTTACTATTTTACTATTTCCAGATCATCCATTACACTTTCAATTTTTCGAAATTATGCAATAGATGATCTAAGGTAGATGACTACTCGAAGAAAACCTCTCATGGAGTGGGTAGATTGAGATTCAAACACTATGATGAGTGATTGTAGGGAACTGTATAATTGCCAACGAGAAAAACTACACTACGGTTATGTTTCGGGGTGGAAATAGGACATCAAAGTGAATCGAGCTCTAGCTCTCTATTTCAACGTTATTCAAACAAATAGCCAGGAGTAACCAATATCGTTATACCAAGTAAGAAGCCCCTTAACGTATCGATACCAAAAGTTCACAAAATTAACTATATAATAAAAGGACAAGACATATGTGGTAGAAAAATAAACTTGATTTAGTTTTAGCCAAGTACTGTATGAATAACGATACAGCTCACTTGTGATGGCTATTGTGTTTTTCCATAGATATATAAACAAGATGTTTTCCACCCTGGGTACAGCTTCGTAGGAGAATGTTGTTTTGTCGAGAGTAATAGCGTTGAAGCGTAGGCCTAGGCGTTCGAACTAAGCATCCAAAATATCACCCCGGGCTATCTTCAACAAGATATTCGACCTTCATCTTCAATGATAAGTAAAACCAAGCTGAACTGAACCGTTACGTAAAGGCAAACTTACGTAAAGTAGGGTAGTTGATAAGCCCACGTAACGAAAAATAGCGAGTAGAAAATGGCCCTGAAAAAAACATGAAAGGTTTGACCAGGTTCACCTAAATTTGAATGTTATACATGCCAAGGCTGAAAAAACCTACATCGATGATGGGTGGCCTTGAGTAGTAATTATCCAATGTGAATTTAGCAAAATTGTGTAATTCGGGAACAAATCTTCTTGAAATAGTCAGAGGACCTTCCTTTGATTAACTATTCCACAATAATTACAAGAGTGTCAAAAAAAATCCGCAAACAAGGGACACACGTCGTTCCAATCCTTCTAGAACACCAAAAAAACGATAATTTTCCTCAACTAGCCTTTTTTTTATATTTAACAAAAAAACCCGCTTGTTTTCAATTTTTTTCATTAGTGTCGTTCTTTATATTTTAGGTTGGGAACCCTGATATTTATAATGAAGTCACCTGGTAGTTCTAATAAACCTTCAGATGACAAGCAGAAGTGAGTTTATGTTATTTTGTTATGAATTCACAAAATGATGACAACAATTAGAAAACGGTCATTATTTTGGCTATCTACTCAAAAGCAGATCAACATACCTGACGATGAATCCGACCCGTACTATCGACCTCGCTGGATTCGTCTTTGGTGAGAATTGAACAAAAAATAGTTATAACATTGGTAGTTAATAGAGCTTTCTGTTTTAGGCATGGAAATATCTACTTATACCTGCTCTGAATATACATATTTTGTAAAAAGTAGAAGTTGAATAATGAAGTTCAGTGTGTAGAAATAAAAAACTATATCCTTTTTTTATTTTCACAGTTATAACCCCTGGAACTAACATAACCCGTAACAAGTCATGGAAATATTTCAATCCATTATCTTCAAAAAAGAAAAATCATCATTACTTGACAAGGCAGAACTTGCGGAAAAACGGCCCCACTTGCAGAAAAAAAAATTGTTCCACCAAGACAACGCACCGTCTCACACCTCAGCGGTTGCCATGGCGAAAATCCACGAATTTCGGTTTGAACTGCTTGACCATCCATTTTACTCACCAGATCCAGCCCCAAGCGATATCTTTTTATTCCCTCATCAAAAAATTGCGCTCGAAGGAAAGAGATTTTCGTCAAATGAAGAGGCAATCAACTTCATGAACAAGCATTTTGTAGAGAAAAACGCCGCTGAAAACTGTTTTGTATCTTTGTCAGGTCGAAAACTTTTCAAACCACCCAAAGTGGGTGGATCTATTGCACCCTCCACTGCAACCCCCAAAATTTATTGTGACTCTGTGGGATGATATACTCACGTAGAAAAGATGAATATCCGAAGTTGTGACGAACTTCTTACACTCGTTGTTGATATGATCCAAGCAAGGAGGTACAAGCCACTCTATGCACTCTACCAACAGTTCTAATTGTTCTACTAGTAAAAATTTCTCCAATGTAGCCATATAAGAATCCATGAATGGTTTCCATCCGAGTAAAGCTGGTTCCATGTATATCATTCCACACCTTGAAACTGTAGCCGGAGACGCTTGTTCCAAATCGGCAGGTTCGAATATAAGGTTCATCTGAGGCGACATCTAAAATTGATCGAAACGTTTTCAGTAAATAGTATACGCTGTTCATTTGTAATTGAAACACCTTGAGAACTGACTCTGTCTATGGATTTTCATGCACGATTCAAGGTATTACTTTTCCAATACTAAGTGAGGTTGTTATCAAAAAGAGTAAAAAGTAGCATGGAAGTCATTCGAGTTTGATTCGAATGACTTCTATGTCCACAGCCCCCAATCCAACCATCAATGAAGAATAGATAGTTGGATTAGACAAGCTCTTCGATGTTGATGAAGAAGATTCCCAGAAGGAAACATAAACGCGGAAAGTTCAATCTGTACCTACTGCTGTACAGGTCCCAACGCTGTTTTCACTGTCAAAAATGTAATACAAGTTCATCGATTGTTTCGCCAGATACCTCAAAAATACTCCAGATCCTTATTTTTATTTGTACTAACCCTTCGAAGAATAGATTCTGAATTTTGATACTATTAGGATCATATTCAGTAGCATTTTGTTATGAAGACATCCCAAACTTGAATGTTCACGGTCTGATTGTTCGTTAGTATTGAAAGTTTGTTGGAATTATATCGTACTGTGAGTTGATACTGACCATGAACACAATTTTTTCTTAACGTTACTTCTCGTAACTGGTTTGATCCCTTCAAAAAAAGTACAATCTGGCCAGTTTCACTTTGTTATAAAGATTGAATGGAAGGTGATAAACACAATGTTCATATGAAATATGGACTTGAAAATGAACCCAGGAACACCACGCGATCTCTCAGATTATTTAGTCTTACAACTATTGATATGATTCCATGAATGTGAGGAAGACTTTTTGTACGACTCCTCTGACTCGCGAAATGGGTAATACCAATCAACTTGCAACACTGTAAGGGGACTTTGGAAGTCCTCCCAAAGATTGAAAGGCAGTTTCGTATTTCTCGCATGCAAGCCTCCTGAGTCTATAGGGAAAAAAACATGAGATTGAGAAATATACGGAGACAGTTAATTCATAGTAGAACCTCAGAGTCCAAAAAAACATGCAAGTACGTTATTTTCGTACCGGGAATTTGACGGTGGTCAAACCATACCATATCCTCAAATATTTGGAAGGCTTCAGCATCTTGAGCGATCATCAATATCGCCTTCGGAAACAAAGATCAACAAGCAACCTATTGTATGGCACCCATATTTGGAATGAAGCAATCAAGAAACATGGAAAATCAAGAGCTATTGCACTTAATATTTCTTAGGCCTTTGACCGTGTGTGGCATGAGGGTTTGCTGACCAAACTTCGATGCTATGGATTGTTGGATCATTTTTATGTATGGCTCTCCAGCTTCCTGAAAGAATGTTCCCTGTAAGTGGCCGTTGGTAGATATCTCTCGAACACTTTCACCATCAACGCTGGTGTTACCCAGGGATCCATACTGTCTCCCACCCTCTTTTTATAGTATATCAACGACTCATTGGAAAAACACAAGAATCAAATATATTGCTTTGCTGAAGACCGCACACTTGTTTCATCCTTTCATTTGGATTTCAGGACATCGGCTAAGGAGGCACATCTTCACATCTCAATGAGGATCTAGAAGTGATTTCGAATTGAGGTGAAAGTAACCAAGTCCAATTCAATGCCACAAGAAACCCAGGCATCGGTTTCCTCCAAGAAGATGAATGTCTCCGAACCGGACATAATAATGTCAGGTCGGACAATTCCCCTTTCTGCTTCAATACGTTTGTTGGTGGGTTGAAATGGACACCAATATGTTTTGGCACAACCATGTCGCTGGAATGACAAAGACTGCTTCCCAAAAGCTTGGAACATTATTCCGAACCAGAAAACTGTACACACCTCAGCAACTTTTGATGCCTTTTAAAGCTCAGTTCAGACCTTCTTTAGAGTACTGTTCTCATCTATGTAGCTCTGCCCCCAAACCTACCCTAAAGTCGCTGGATTCCATCAAGAAAAAAGCCATCCGCCTGATTGGGTGCGCGAATATCACGTGCAACCTTGATAGCCTGAAATATCGAAAAAAGGTTGGAGATTTGTCTCTCTTCTATAGATACTTCCACGGAAAGTATTCAAGTGAATTGCCACATTTGATTCCACCAAGAGCGGTACATATCAGAAATACTCAACGAACTGTGGCTGCCCATCGTTTTGAGGTTCAACTCAGTACACCTCGAACTTCACTGTACAAGAACTCTTTCATCTGGAGATCTGCGATTATGTGGAATAAACTTCTTGAGAACGTTTTTCCAATGGATTTGATCTCCAGCGATACAAATCCAATGTGAATCGCAACATTCGCACAGGCACCGCTATGAAAGTACCTTAAGGATTATACTGCGGAGCCTGTGTTTTGTCCTTAAAAAAAATCAGTTACTATGTTAAGAAATGTAATATGTCATATCATCGGCATTAACTATCTACATAATTATCCTTTGGAACTCTATGACTCGCATCTCAATCTTATCTTATCAAAAACTCCGGGAAACAACCTGGGAAGACTGTATGACAGACATGGAAATCAACTTCAACCAGATGGACTTTGACAGAGATTTTAGCAGAAGATCGATCACCAGGAGTTATTATCCCTACGTACCACGATGTCCGCCATTGAGGATGAAAATGTTCCATGTCAGTGAAATTTTACCTCTTTCATATACTATATTGTGTATCAATCCTGTGGATAATTTTATGCTATGCAATTCCATAACGGATATTTGGAGTACAAACTGAATAGGAAAGCGTGTTTATTTGTATAGTTCAGGGGTTCTCGAACTAATTTTGTCTACCGCCCACTTCGAGAATTATTTATTTTCTAGCGCAGCCAATTTTTTTTACTTTACTACATCTTAAGAATCATGGTTCTATGAGTTCTTCTTCCAGCTGGGGTGATCCTGCTGTGTTGACATTTGAAAAAGGATCCAACATCCAGTCCGGTATTTCCAATTTTGGAATGTACTGGAATCGTTCTGCGAAATCACTATGGAGGTTCTCCAAAAGTTGGCAGTAAACAAGCAAGTCGTCTTTGTTGAAGGATACTGCTGACAAATTAGAGAAATTGCGAAACTCCCGTCTGCCGATATTATTCTTGTATGAGAGCAATTTGGCTACAAAAGCAGCAATGACATCTTTTGTTTTAATCAAATTCAAGTCGTCACCTTGAAGATTGACATCATTAAATAATTTATACAGGTCTGTCAAGTACGCAATATTATTCTTTGAAGCGATGAGGTTGTCGTGCAATTATTTGTCTTTGTTCTCCAAGAACTCTATTACAGAGTCAAGTAGATTGTAAAATCGAGTCAGACAGTTACCTCTTGAAATAGCAATCGGTTGAAATCTCCATCATTAGCAACACAAAGGTAATTGAATAATCTGTCATTTAAAGAGCTGTTTCGGATTTTATTGACTGTATTGATGATATATTGTAGTGATTAAGAGAGGCGCTCACTCATTTTTTTCGCCATCAAATGTTGCTTACGAATGACGCAATGTACAGCGAACACATCTGAAATTTTATTTTTTAAATACGCTATGAAGCCTTTGTGATGTCCTGTCATAGCCGGAGCGCCATCCGTAGTAGCTGATATAATATTCTACAGTGGAATTTATTTCTCGTCACAATCCTGTATGGTTTCTCCTTTTGTATCCGTCTCTAAATTTCTGGCAAATAGTAGTTCTTGATATATTTTCTCATTTTTAATAAACCTCACGTATGACAACAACAATGCTTCATTGGTTGGTGAAGTGGACTCATCTAACTGAATTGAGCATTTAGAAGTCTTCAGATGATTGCACAATGACTCTTCAATGTTTTCAGTCATCTCATCAATTCGTCTTTGCACGGAACTATTTCTCGAAGGAATTTTTTGGATAATATCTGCCGCTAGTTTATGGAGCACAGTAGTTTTATTTCTTTTGTTTGCCGGTAAAACTAAATCCCCTCCAATAGTGTGAGGTTAACCTGTTTGAGCAATTAGCAAGGAGATACTGTAGGAAGCTCGGAGTCCGCCGTCGTCTTGCTTAGAAGCCGCTGAAAAAAGTTTTGACAGAGTTGGCTGAGCTGAGTGTTTCTTTTCCATTTCTTGAAAATAAGTCACACTTCTATCTTTTTTAACAGAATGCATTTTATTCGAATGATCTTGTAGCCTTGAGGGTTTCATCGCTCCATTCGGAAATGTTTTTTGACTAAGAAGGCATATAGGCGAAGACGGATTTGTGGGATTTTCACTAAATCCATATCTCATATATTCCGCGCTGTACTTCCGTTTCTTCTTTTTTGCTTCCGACAAAATTTCATCTTCAAAAATGCCGAAGTGAAGAATCGAGTATTAAAAACTTGCTAATGACACCACTCACAGTATTCACCACCGCACGTACAACAGTTTACCTGTTTTCGTAATATCGTCGAATGATATTACTGGCTGGTGTAGTACTCACGTTTATTCACTTATTTTGGTTAGTAGTTTACAATTTGTTTGAGTATTTGTTAAGACCCCGCTATAGGCTCGTACCTCTTCAGGGTTTACAATTTTTCCTATCAGTGTTAGTTTATGTTAGTATGTGTTAGTATGTAGTTGAATTTTGAATATTATAAGTTATGGTTGATGAATATGGTTAATGAATAATAATATGATTATAAGTATAAGTAGAAGTAAATTCGAATGTCCTAGTTCTTTGCTGTGGTCGGTTTTCTTGGAGGTGTGGATTTGTGATGGATCTGTGGTATTGAGTTGTTAGCGATTTCGCTTGAGCTCTCAGGGCTTCCAGGCTGTGATTTCCGCTATCTGATGGCTAATGGAAATTCCTCAAGGATATTCTGGATTTGCTCCGCAGGATCTTCCATTAACCCCAGGAGTCTGGCTGGGGGGAACGGTAGCTTTCTCCGAGGTATCCTCTTGGCGCCTCCACGAGGCCTCCATGGCGTGGTCAGGGTGTTAATGGCCGCGGTGTTTTGGCTTCTCATAGTTCTCGTAGCGTATCTGCTACGATCTGCTGAAATCTCAAATTGATCAGGGTGATATCTATTTGATTGTGAATGGGAGGTTATGGATATTTCTGAGGATTTTTCTCTCGATTCTTACTATTCGGTGGACTTGTCTTTGATTTAGAGTGCAGTAGATCGTGGCTTTGTGGTCCACGACCGGTCTTATGAAAGTTTTGTATGTAAGCAAGAGGGTCTTGCTGCTGCATCTACCGAACTTGCCTCTCAGTGCCTTCAGAAGATTTGCTCTTTTCCGGACTGGCTGGATGGCGCGCGCGCTTTTATATGAGACAGCGGGCGGACCTAGTATTTTCGAGAATGGAGACTAGTAACTTCTCGTTTTGCATTGAAGCTTATTGCCATCTATTGTACAGTTTGACAACTATCGGACAGAAAATAATTACTCTCTAGTCCCCTAGATGGCATTACACGAGGAAACGCACGTTAAGCGTAAAGGAGCGTTTAAGTTCGTGTTGAAAGCAAAAAAAACATTTTTAAATTAGCCATTGCCCCACTAAACCGCTTCAACCCCCCCTTATCTTCTATGTGCCTTTTACTGCCCCTCTATAGGCCTCCACCGCTCACAAGGCGGCGTTATCGCCTACTTCGAGAAAGACTAGTATAGTTTCTTTTTTGTAAATCAATATTCATATGGTAGCAGTTGTTTCGAGAGGGCTTTTTCTTCTAGTTTGCGTCCAAGGGTTACTTCTTTGCATGGTCTACACATCTTTGTGAAACTTTTCGAATCAAATTGATTTCCTTCATCCCTTTTTAGAAGATTCCCACATTTTTTTGTATGAAGATAGAGAAGTAGAAAGCGAAAATCTTTTTCCCAAACCCAAATGGGGCAGAAAGTGGTAGACGATAATTGCTAAACCCAGCTGCGAAATGAAATTAAAACAATTTGAATAGCGGTTTCCGCCTAATACAGCGCAGCGCTGCTCCTGGACGTACCTATTGTGATTGTAGTGTCCCATAGTTGTCAGTTTTACCACTATGAACACAACACTCATCAATTCTGCAATTTTTGCCAATATTTCATTGAAGTTGATTGAAAAAAATAAACCACGATGAAGTTATGTGGTACAATCAGAGTACCGTTGCATTTTACCATGGTACGTGATAGACCAAGTCAAATTATGATACGTGTACTGCAAAACTGACACTGTTGGCAACACTGCGAAAGTACGGTTTGTATGGCAAATGATGTGTCAAGTGTCTACATCTTTTTCAAATTCACCTTCCACTCATCCCCCACTAATCTTCTATATTCTATTTCCCTACATGGGTTTCAACTACGCCAGCACCATCTATGAATTAACCCCATCGCCATCCAGTTATTTGGCCATAAAGTTTATCGACTAATAATATTTGTACAATGAATATTCTGATTATATAATGGTCAATACAACGATAAAAATAAAATAAAAACAACAATAAAAATTAATTGGCGCTCCGGGGCGACTTCATTGATTCAAGTGGCGCATTTGCTTCTAACAATGTCCTCTCTCTTATGAAAGGAAATGTAGGGTGTCTCCAGATGCTCCAATGAATTCAATGCATCGCCAGAACACTTTGTGACACATTTAATATTAAATTTCACATAAAGGATTTGAAGCTTTATATCTTCTATCAATTATCTGCGAGCACTTTAGACAGCTGATCGTACTGTTATCTTCTAGGCACTCCTCAAACTGAACTTGTCTTCCTGTCGTCTGCCTCTTCATACGGTCAGAACGTCTCAACTCATGTATTTGAGGTACTTTAGGTAAATTTGCCTGTATTTGTACTGCAACAGGTACTATTCTTTGTGTTAGATCTTCTTTAGGAATGTGTATCGTTTTGTTCCCAGTGAAGATCTAACACAAAGATTAGTACCTGATGCAGTACAAATACAGGCAAATTTACCTAAAGTACCTCAAATACCTGAGTTGAGACGTTCTGACCGTATAAAGAGGCAGACGACAGAATGACAAGTTCAGTTTGAGGAGTGCCTAGAAGATGACAGTATGACCAGCTGTCGAAAGCGCTTGCAGATAATTAATAGAAGATATAAAGCTTCAAATCCTTTATGTGAAATTTAAGATCAAAAAACTGAAAATAAAGGAAAATTAGTTGAATCATTCAAAACAAAAAAATATATATCAGATAATTATATGTAAACAAACAATAAATATTTTTTCGAATCAATCTTTTGTTTGATAATGTTTTCAAGCATTCGGCAGCTCATTGTAAAACTTGACATCTTTATAATAAATCGAATGGGGATGACAATTCTAATAGTTTTTTTTGTTTATACAAGTTAACTGTAGGCTTCTTGAGGTTCAACTCGAATATACACCTTATAATTGTATTCTGAAGTTTTTTTAATTAGTTTCATTGGAAAATTTGCTGCCCATACTGATATTAGATATTGAATTTTGGAATATACTAATGAAAAATAAATCAATTCAAGGTATTTTAGGGGTACAACATTTCTTATTTTGAATAAAATTACAATTATGGGAGCTATTTTTTTGTTATCGTTTCAATGTGTTGTCTCCATGATACATTTTCATCGAGGTTGAATGGCAGAGCAACTTCTGAATAAGTCATTCGTGACAAGATCAGAAATTGAATTTTGCCTTTGGATAGGTACTTGGGTAGATTGTATATGTTGTATTTCATACACTGTATTTTTTTCTTCGCCTATCAATAAAAACTATCATTATTATTATCTGAAATGAGACCAAAAAATTTGGCACTAGGAGAGAATTCGATATTTTCATTATTGAATTTGATTGGATCTTTTGAATCAATCTGAAAATTTTATGGCAGTGAAGCCTTGAAGATATTTGAGCAAGGTCTCTTGAAATATCAATTTTGAATTCTTATAAACTATTTCCATTGTAAATTGTTGTGGTGTCATCAGCAAACATTTGTAATTTCCCAAATGAATCTATTGTAGCCAAATAGTTGGAACATATAAGAAACGAAACAGGAACAAATGTTGATCATTGCGGTACCCCACATATAACACATATAACAAATTATGTCGCCAATACGGACATATTGCTGTGCATTCAAAATAGTTGTTTACTTGATAAGCAGAAGTTTTTCCTCCCATAGGTTTCCCAACTATCATCAAACCATGTCTGACTAGAATCATTTCGTATATCTGCATGCACTTCATAACAAACCATGGTGTCGGTTGTAAGTTCCTTTTCTTTATTTCTGCAATGAGGCACTCTATCAGTTCAGCTCGCTCGAAAGATGGTAGTTCAACTCCAGGAAACAAATCGTTGTAGATACCCTCAAAGAGGGGAACATCCTGAAAAGATGTGATTTGATATATATGAAGTGATGCCATTGAATTTTTTTTAATCCTGATAAATTGAAATCGGCATAAGACGATTTCTAGTTCGAAGAAAGTAAGTAATAGATCCCCATTTGAAAAAAAAACAATATTCAAAATAGCCCATAAATTGTATTCTATTTTATTGAAGTATCTTTTTTTCACCAAAATACGAAGAACATTTGTCTCTGTACTTCTGAAAATGTCATCCACTCATGTTGGTGATTGAGAAATTTCACTAAAAAGAATGAGAGTCAACAATTCCGAAAAACGTTGAAAGACGTAAAAGTTCAATTTTCTATTACTTTGAAATGAAGAGAATCATCAATGATGATTAGTGTTGGCGATATGATGCGGACTCAATGAGAGGCACGCAGTACATTCTATGAAACACATTCAGATCGTAAACCAATTCCTTATTTTACTGTGAGCAGAATAGAACGAAAATACAAAAATTTAGGGCATATTGTACAAGATTGCACCAAAGTAAAGTAGACCTATTAGAGAATTTGACAATTATATCTCGTTTTCTCACAAAATACAATAATTTTTGATTTGACTCAACATTTTATTGATACTCAAATAATCAATACTTCATTCCGCAGAATGTAATTCAACGAAACTGAATACCGCCACATTTCGCTAAATCTGTGAGTGCTTTTGCAAATAGATCCTTCTCAGATGATGGATAGGAAGAGGAGGATAGTAAAATAGGCCACTAGATCAACTGATTTCATCCCGTTAGTCTTCTTTTCATGTATTTATTCGGAAGTTCAAGTCTATACTTGAAGACGTGGCTATATCCAAGACTAAATTGTATTCTATCTCGAAAAAATGTTCCGATTATCCGGTGGAACGTCGAGAAAATCAGTTGAGCAACAGATAATACTGTTGTCTTAGTCAGATGTGTCCTGTTCTCTACTGATAAGGAGTAATACCCCAAAAGCAATATGTAGGTCCTGCTGCTAGACAAATGAGAAGCTAATGCAAGATTTGTCTCTGTGAATACACTTGCACAAATGCCTGTCGGTTATAATCCAATATCCGTCGTAGTATTACTCAAGAAAATGCGCGTTTTCGTTGGACATTTGCTTATATTCGCTTTCTTGTTAAGCATTTAAATTGTTCCTTATTGTGGAAAAGATGTGAAAGCACGTTCATGAGCTGATTTTATGAAATGAAGGTCACAAAAATAGATTTTGAAATGCATTATTTCCAAAATACAGGCTGTTCAATTTTCCTGAAAAATATTGTAAATATACTTTGCCATAATAATGAAAGTAACTTGACACATGGCAAACAATAGAATCAAGTCATGACAACTAATTTTTGGTGTTTTACCCAAGACAAAATTGAACGGGAAAGAAAGTTTTTGGCTTTCTACTACTTCCATCTTTCCCAAAAATTAATCACTCTGAAAAATAAAACCCTTTCAATATAAAGAAAATTGGACGTAACAAGAAACGTCAGTGGCTTATATTGGTCAATAATGTTGGCAAAATTGTGTTTCGAACATCCACTGTACTCAATAATTTGTACCTAATTAAGGCTTGATGGATCTCTTATCACTAAAAAGAATAGTGACTAAATTTCACCAAAATCGGAAAAGAGTTATTTATCCTACAAAAAAAAACTTTTTCAGCAAGTTCAACAGTGTGCACCTTGAAAAGAATACATTCCTGGATCTATGTTCATGCGAACTTTTTTTCATAAAATTAGCTCTATAACTCACCCTTACATTTTTGCCACCATATATGTTCGTCCAGAAGCGACTGATAATTTCGGAGATCTTCGTCCGAAATTGAACTGCAATGAAGTAGTAGCACACACCATCTCGTGAACGAAACCATAAACGGAGAAGAAGCATCCAGTGTACCCGTAATCTAACAGAAATCAAAGCTGTCCAACGATTGGTTTTGAGAGAGATACAGTACGCCAACAATACCACGAAAGCAGCCAGTCATTTGCTGTAATCCACTCTCAAAAATTTTTGAGAGAGAATATCTCTCTCACAAATCAATGAAAACAACAGCAAAATTGCCTGAATTGGGCTTCGAATTGCTTCCGCATCCACCATATTCTCCAGATCTGGTTCTCAGCTACCTTTTTTTGTTCTCAGACTTCTAGAGAATGTTCGCTGGGAAGAAATTCAGCATCGATCTAGAAAACTCCAAGGATAACTCCAAAAATCATAGAACAGATAAAAAATTCCATTTTATTGCGTAATCAACAGTTGATTTTGAAATATGCTCTGCCATCACTGAACCTGTTTCATCTACATAAAGACAGATTTCCACCACACGGACTAGCTTGCGACTAGTTTCATTTTCAAAACTAAAATTTTGTTTCAGTTTCGAAAACAAAATCGAAACTTGAATTCCACCACAAAAACAAAAATTAGTCTGAGTCGCGTGTTTTGTTAATAATAATAATAAGTTTATTATTTACCAATATATAAAGTGATAAAGTAATGTTTCAATGACAAAAACATCTAATGAAGGTGAACATATGAATAACCGTTTGTTGCTGCAACCAATTTCTCCACAGTCTCCTTAATTTTCCACAGTTTTCCAACGTTTCCACAACAAAAACAATTTTGATCATGCTTTCTCTATACTCTATACATCTAAGCAACACAGTGCTTCAAAAAAGTATCGTGCATAGTGCACGAGATCTCCCAGACAAGGCTGCTTGTACAGAGTCGCACTGAGAAAACGATCGATTTTGTTTAATGATATGCGGTCGGGTAGGTACAGGAAATTTTTCATGCTCTGTTACGCCAGCAACGCAAAGTACGAAAATTGCATTTAGAAAATGTCAAAATTAGGTACTTTTTAGGTGCTTTTCAGGTACCGAAGTCAAAAATTAGGTGCTCTGTAACTTACACCGCAACTCAATACTCAAAGTTGCGTTGCTAGCAGTATGTGATCAACGCAATGAAAATAATAATAAAATGATGAATGTTGAGGGAACACTATTAGGTGCTAATTAAGTGCTAAACGGTGCGGATCGTAACATTTTCTAATTAATAAACAAAAGTTTCCAATTTCGCCAAACAACAGATCTAAGAATCAGGTGAATTTATTAGGTTTCGAGATTCAAAGTGATAATTCCCTAAAATGTCAACCATGTTAAGGAAGCTAAAGAACATAAATTTTATGTTTTCATCAAATTAACAATTAAAAGGCAAAGTTTATGCATACAAGTTACTGACGAATTGGCTCTTCAATGTTTTATTTTACGCAGTTCCGCTTCGTTCATCATTAGATTGAGGGAAGGTCAAAATCTCGAAGAAATACTAAGAAACAGAAACGCATTTTCTCTTTCAAGCATTCATTCTCTCTCTCTCTCTCCTCTTCTTTCACTTCCTCTTTCACCACCTTTCCCAAACTAGAAATACACAAAGTTAGGACTTCCTCGTTACTTACTTGTGCCAAAAATTTTGGTAAATTAACATCTATTACGGCTCTCAGTACAAGCTGTGGTTCTTCAACATCTGGATAACCCCTTCTCAGTGCCCCGGCAGCCAACAGAACGGATTTTACCGCTCTCATCCCATAGTCATAATGATTTTGAGAAGATAGCTGTTCGGAACACAACTTGTATGTATGAACGATTTTTTGCGATAGACTGAAATTGAGAACAGAATTTTGAACATTTTGTTAATATTCAATATTTTTCCAAATTTTGAAAGATATTTATTTGTGTATTCAATATCATTCTGCCATTCTGCATTTATCCGCATTAATCTCAAAAACGGTTTTTCCGATTAGGGAGCGGTTTTCACTAATGTATTGTAGTAATCTTCACTTAATAATATTAGTACTTATCTGATTTATCTAATCAGTTCATGAATGAAAGGTTGTTGTTGAGGGTTGTAAACCGAGATTATTTTGTGACAACCCCTGTTCAGTTGAATTTCGACCCCCCGGCCTCAGTACCGTGTAATCGAGCACTGTCAATGCCGTATTGGATACACTGAAGGGATCGTTTGACAAAAATGCCAACTCCCCCTCCAGCACGTCCAACACGTTCTCTGTGACAATAGATTCGTTCCTCAGATGTGTCTCTTGGACTAGAGCCACATCGATGTTGTTCTCAATCAAAAAGTTCTCAAAGTCAAGTTTCTTTGAACGAATGCCATTAGCATTTCAAAAAACTATCTTCAGAGATCTAGGCAACGTTGGTTGTCTAGACATTGGCAGTTCCGGTTATTTACGTCAGTATTCACCGTGAACATTTTCTGTAGCACGGGGAATTTAACAAACAACTTTTTCATCTGGTCCAGTGCGGTATAGATGTCTAAAACCCCCTGAGTCTGAGGTGAGGGTTCAGGTAGAGGGGAGGTGGGTTTGCTATACTGCTTGCACCTTTGGATGCAGCTTTAGCAAAGCTGACTCCTCCTGGACGCGTCCAGACCTCGCAGGTCTCCCTGAAGGGGCTGGTTTTTTGGGAGTTTGCTGCCTTTTGCGTTGTACCTTGAGGTACGCAGGGCAGCCACGGTATTTCGCAGTGTGGGCATCTTTGCAGTTATTGCACTTCGGGGGGTCAGACCTGGCCTTTTTGCAGGCACTTGTCAAGTGCCTGCCAGCGCATTTGACACAGATGGGCTCTGCTAGGCAATTGCGCTGGCAGTGACCAAAACGTTGACAACGGTGGCACTGGCCCACCGAAGTTTTTGGGCGTTGGGGTTCGACCTGAACCTTCACACTCAAGAGGTCTTTGACCTCAAATATATGCTTCTGGTCCCTGTTTACCAAAACAAGGATCAGAGGCATCGGTTTGCCAGCGCGCTTCATGCGCGTGACACTGGTGAGGTCAAAGCCCTTGGCTTCGAGCTCCTCACGAATATCGTTGACTGCCAAGTGCTCTGGCACTCCCCTGAAAACGGCACGAATTTACCGTTCCTCAGGGGGTGAGTAGATATGGTGAGGGATTTTCTCCTTGCCAGTAGACGATAGTTGTCACGAGACTCCGGTTGGACCTCGATACCGTCATGTAGGTTGACGGCTTTTAGGAACTCAATATTCTCTTGAGCCGTCAACTTTATCAGTGTCCTTCTGGCGGACGACGATGGGCGGGATTTTGGCCTTAGTGGCCGAAGAAGGAATGTTTCGTTTCAGAGGGGTAGGGGAGGTGGGCTCCACCATTCAAATAGCCACTTCAAACATTTGTTAGGAAAAATTTCAAAAAATGCCATTCGGTAAATTTGGCTGAAACTTTGGGTAATTCTAAATATTTATACTCCGTATAAAAATGTTTTTTAATCAAAGATATGAGAATAATTTGCTGTTAAAAATGTGGGAACATCCAAAAATTTAAGTTCCCGCGAATGAAACAGGAAACAGTATTGAAATATAGTGAAGTGGGAATCAAAATCAACTCATGAAACTGAAACCTGTTTTCTTCATGAACAGATTTTCAATCATACAAATAGGCTACATAGTTATCATTAGTTGGATTGAAATGTTAATATATTATAAGATTGGTCGATACTTGATGAAAATACCTAATATATTTGGCAATACCAAAAGAGTAATATTAAAATAAGGTATAACATTAATATGAATTCAGCTGCGAAAATGATAGTAAACATTTCTCAACACGTAAGATTTTTGGGTTATGATTTTCTTCACAAAAATTCAATGAACACTACATTCCAAATGTGCTTTTTCCTAAATTGGGGAAATTGTTCGAAATCTGGCAACACAGCAGCTCTGTCCAGTATTCGAATCTGCTTCCGCTGTATATTAGACTTGTACGGGTCGCCTCTAGAACTTCCGATTCTCGAAGTTTTCAGAAAACACCAGAAATACGGAACCGCTATAAAAGTAGCAGGTTGACAATCGGATCATCAATATTGTTTTAACTCGAGTAGTGGTGAGTTAGTATTATTGAAGCGAGGTGAACAATCACGCGAATATTAAGAGTATTTTATAAAAGTGTTATCTTTCTGAATAAAATAAGTTGACTCCTGTAAACGTATTATCACATATTTGAACTCGATGTACGCAACAGTACAAAAATGTCCAAAGTACAGAAACGTGGCTGCGTTAATCCCGCAGATAGTTTTTTCTATGTATGTGGTCAGTTTACTCCTAAATCGCAGAGACGGCCAATTAATCAAATGACCCAAGTAGCTTACCAAAAGTATTTTCGATGTGTTGTTGATGATCAAGATCGGGATTGGGCTCCTCTTGTATGTTGCCAAACCCGTGCAGCACATCTAAGCAACTGGTTGGATGGCAAACGCTCTTCTATACCTTTAGCAGTTCCAATGATTTGTTCCAACAAATCATTACAACGACTGTTACTTTTGCATGACAAACGTGTCTGGTTTTTTAAAAAAGAGCAAACACAAAATTGTATATCCAAATATTCCTTCGCAAGAAGGCCAGTTCTTCATGGAGAAGGTTTACCAGTTCCAACGCCCCCGGCAAATTGGAAGGAAGATTTGGAAATGTATGATGACCCGACAGGTTCCCATGATGTATCAAAAAAGACGGTCCTTATTTTCCCGAGAGTGAAAGACGAACCCCCCATTTAATCGAACCACCTGAATCAAATGAGCTAGTTCAGGACCTCCACTTGGTCAAAGAGAACGCTGAACTATTAGGGTCTAGATTACAACAATGGAATTTACTAGTTCCTAAAACCAAAGTTACAATTCTTGGGAACCGTAACCATGAGCTAGTCTCGTTTATAACTATGCAGGATAAAATATTTTTGATATTACTATGTATCTTCATCAAGTAACGGCCAAATCAATCAAAAAATATTCTAAATGCAATAAGTTATAATACGTTTTTTTCTAAAAAAATTATTCACTCCTAAGAAAATAACCCTTTCTATCATAATACGTATAAGACGCAAATACGTAGTGACTTAAAAGTCATAGGACTATTACTAGGTCTTCAGGGCGGATTTACAAGGTTTTGCTGTTTTCTTCGCCTTTTGAACAGTAGGGCAACACAGAGTCATTATCAAGTAAAAGAATGGCCTCCGAGAGATAAATATATTCCAGGTCAAGCTAACGTGAAGAATATACCTCTTGGTGATCCCAAAAACGTTCTGTTACCTCCATTACACATTAAACTGGGGTTCATGAAACATTTTGTAAAATCATTAGACAAAGAAGGTGATGCGTTTGAATATCTTAATCAGGTTTTTCAAAAGCTCAAGGAAGGTATATTTGTTGGACCACAAATTAGAAAAACTACTAAGTGTTTGATCAAAAATTACGTAATATTGAATTAGTTGCGTGGAGTTCTCTCAAAAGAATTATTTCGCAGTTAGAGAACACGAAAGTAGAAAATTATGAAACACTTGTAGAAGAACTACTTGACAACTACTGCAGAATGGGATGTTGCATGTCTCTCAAAATCCATTTCTTGCACTCCCATTTGAATTTTTCCACACAAAATTTGGGTGCTGTTATATTGAACATTGTTTTCAATATACGTTTCTGCATTATGAAAATACGTTCCAGTTGTGTACTCCCTCCCCATACTAATATTCCATATTTCAGCAGGGGATAAATAGTCCCATACTATGACGTCTCAACACTCGAATTGCATAACACTTATTTGCTAGTTTTTTTGCAAGATAGTCAATATGTACCTCACAATTCAGTTTATCATCTATATACATTCCTAACAGTAGTGACCTGAAAGTCATAGGACTATTACTAGGTCTTCAGGGCGGATTTACGAAGTTTAGCTGTTTTCTTCGCCTTTGGAACAATAGGGCAACACAGAGTCATCATCAAGTAAAGGATTGGACTCCGAGAGATAAATATATTCCAGGTCAAGCTAACGTGAAGAATAAACCTCTTGGTGATCCCAAAAACGTTTTGTTTCCCCCATTACACATTAAACTGGGGTCCATGAAACATTTTGTAAAATCATTAGACAAAGAAGGTGATGCGTTTAAATAGCTTAATCAGGTTTTTCCAAAGCTCAAGGAAGGTATATTTGTTGGACCACAAATTAGAAAAATTACTGAGTGATCATCAGTTTGATCAAAAATTACGTAATGTTGAATTAGTTGCGTGGAGTTCTCTCAAAAGAATTATTTCGCAGTTAAAGAACACGAAAGTAGAAAATTATGAAACACTTGTAGAAGAACTACTTGACAACTACTGCAGAATGGGATGTTGCATGTCTCTCAAAATCCATTTCTTGCACTCCCATTTGAATTTTTCCACACAAAATTTGGGTGCTGTTAGTAACAAACAAGGGGAAGGGTACCACCAAGACATTCCGACAATGGAGCAATGTTACCAGGGCAGATGGGATGCAGCAATGATGGGGGATTATTGTTGGTTCCTTATGAGGAAAAATGATGAAACATATTAACGAAAGTCAATATTTGCAAAAAGGTTATGCGCAAAAACTTCATTTGAATATTTTTTCATGTGTATTGTAAATAAAGTCTGTTATCTTCAAAATATATTGTTTTTTCTTGTTTTGATCTTATATTTCCCTATAATATGTGATAACTTTTGTATGAAATGAAAATAACTATAACCCAAAATCTTTACGTGATGGAAAATGTTTGATAAAGTAGTAGTCAGGATGCTTTAAACTCTCATGTATAGCCATTATACTATAAGTTGCATTTTTTTTTCTCAATTGTTGGCTAGTGTTATGAAAACAATACCTTTTAGCTTGTTCAAATCCATATGAATAAAGAGATATTTCTCCTATCATTGCATAATCTGGAACCATCATAGCAACTGTTCTGAATAATACTTTCAGATTATCAGGTAACTCTTGACGACCAGCATACCTGGAGGAATAAAATATATATATTCAACAATAAGTGTCTCGTTCAAGTGTTCATGGAAAAAAATTTGTGTATTTCGAATAACAGTAATAGTATCAGTATCATTAACCAAGCCTATTATTGTACTGTATATAGAAATGTAGGCTTTTACGGCTGGCGTTAATGTGTTGATCGGCTTCCACGTTTTGCCGTGTTCTTCTTTGGTTATAATATCCAAACGTTTCAACTACAATTGCGGCAGTCATTTTCAGTAGCTTGGTCGGAGTACTCTTTCTGACGTAAAGATGACTGGCGTAGTTGCAGTTGTAACATTTGGAGATTATTACCAAGGAAGACCAGGGCAAATTCCGGAAGCCAATCAAAACATACTGTTGTCGTCTTTATTATACCAGGAAACATTAAATATTAGAGATTCACTAAAGTAACTAAATATATGAATACAGCAAAAAATTGAAATATAGAACAAGAGAACACAAGTAAAATAATGAATATGAGCGAACATTAAGTTGTAAAACTGACCAGATTGCCCGGTTAACTGGATCGGATCTCCTGATGACTTCACAGCCTTTATTCGAAAACATTATGTTATGTAGATACCCCAAACTGTATCATGTAACATGTAACATGTATCATCATATTGTATCATGACGGATATTGCATTATACAGGGCGTTTCAAATTCGATCCTCACAACTGGGATCTCGGAAACTATGAGAGATACGAAGATGGTTTGAGGAAGAGGGAAATCAATCGTGCAGTGAATAATATTCGGAGAAAGAAACAGTTGTATTATCATAAACAAGACCAGCATTTTGAGCATTTGCTGTGATTTACTTTTGTCTTTACATTCTCGTTAATTATTGTTATTTGTTCAAAGTTCTATTTTCATTGAAAAGGACACAATGTCTGATTACCTCATACACACCTCATTTATCAAATTTTGATTGGTGCTACTGTCTCCGTATTTTTTCATTGACTTTTCAAACGAACCAAACTCGGTGAGATTTTGATCCAATAACTTGAACATAGTTCGATGTGGTTGTCGTCTTTCAGGATACAAGTTCAAATAGATTTCCGACATCCTAACACTGTTTCTATCGTATTTGTAATAAAGTATCATATCTCATTTTTCTTCATTCGTGAAAGCCATTTTTCTCCAAAAATTCAATGACTTGTACAATAACAAAATGCCATTGAGCAAATTGAAAGTCAAATTTAGAAACATCAAAGTCAAAGCCGATTATGATGAGAATTAATTATTTTCAAAATCATTTTCGGATCCTTCGAAAAATTGAGCCAGAAAAAAATAAAAACCATTTTCCGAAATTTCTGTTTTTTTCCGGATATCTCCCGTTATTCTCGGATTTTCAGAAATTTCTCAACGGCATATTGTTAGTGAGGTAAATGCGCAACTTTGTCCCAATTTTATCATCTTCGTTTCTCTCATAGTTTCTGAGATGCCAATGGTGAGAATCGAAATTGAAACACCCTGTATGCGGCCGATATTGTTTCGTGAATCTACTAAATTCATTCAGATCCAGTTTTATTTATATGCAGAAATCTGAACCGCTCACAAAAAGAATTTGTGGAAAGTAATAAAAATTTATAAGAACTCTAAATAATACCCAGGGTTCATTGTGATGAAAACGGTACAAGTCGGGTCCAAAGTGATCTCAGTTCCTTCAAAGACAAACTTTTTCAATTTAGCAGCTACCGCTGTTTGAATACTCAGTATTTGTTGCGCTACTACAGAGAGGACCTCAAGTTCTATTCGGTTGAATTCATCGAAGCACGCCCAAGCGCCTGCCTGAGCTAAACCCTACAAATAATATAGTTCAATTTGCCTCGTGAAATACATATATCCTGACAAATCACCTTGAAGAATTTTCCAAGTGCCTTATAGTCCAATCCATCAGAGCAGTTGAAAACTACGCATTTCTTCGCCACTGCTTTCGCGAGGTCTTTACATGTCTCTGTTTTACCTGTCCCAGCAGGGCCTTCAGGGGCACCACCAAGATTCAGTTTCAGTGCTCCCATTAGTGTCCTGAAAAAAATCATATGATTCACCCAGTAGATCCAAGTTGACATTTATATTCTCAGTATTTTCATCTCCAATGTACAGTACAGACTATTAAATAATAATAATACGGGTTTCATTCTTAGCTCATTACATCTACGCAGTGGTCATTGGTTGATAATAAAATGAAATATTCATCAATCACTTCAACTATCGATAACACTAGATAGGATAAGTCGATGTTACAACTTTGAATGTCCTGAAAGAACAGTATTTTTAAGCTTCAGTTGACAAACAAAACGAAACGAAATAATAAAATAATGATGACTGACATAAACTGTGAAATACTTCGATAGTATTTCAAATCAGAAAATAGTCAAATTCCTCAATAGTTAACACTTAAAAACAGCCGGCGAATTCGTGTTTTCAATTTCAATCTGCATACTGTCGAAATGGAAGGGCATGGAAGTAAAAATAAAGGAAATGAGCACTCAAATCGTCGAGTGACGACTGAAGTACGGTAAACTTATGGTGAGATAAATCAAATCCCATTAGTCGCGATTTAGTATTCGTAAAGTTCACCTTATTTGAAAAGGCATTCAACGTGAAACAGATAGAGATAGGTATAGGACATTATTAACAAAAAAGTATTAAAATACCAGAGCGATTTCAAAAATGTATTAATATACGGGGTGTTCCATTGAAAAAAATAAAATTGCTAGGACTTTTTGATGGAAGTGGCAACGCCACAATGCTGAAAATATTTTAGATCCATAGAACAAATAAGGAAATGTGAGAGGTTAAATTTTCAGAAAAATCATGCTTTGCGTTTTCCAAAAACGTCTAACCTACCATCGACCGTGAGTCACGCTGTGTATTCCCAATATTTGGAATACAACAACAAAAATCTCGATAGGTAGAACTGGAACCTCTGACGTGAAAACCATCTACTGAAAAAATTTTCCCACATCAGAAAAAAAATACGGTCTCTAAAACTGAAATTTACGGCATGTTTGTATTTTTATGTGTATGTGAATTAACTTTACCCACCGCTGGGTTGGTGAAGGTCCTCTGTTTGATCGTAGACGTAGTAATTCCAGATAGAAACCGGGTTGAATTAGAAAATGCAAGGTATAGTCATTAACATATGAATAGAGTGAAATATAAACAATATGACACAAATTTGTGTGGGTATATGAATATGTATAATGGTAGGTAATGCTTAGTCCACATACATATAAAAACATTAACATACCGTTGATTTCAGTTATATAGTCTCTTTCAATAATGAGGTAGAGTGAATTCTCAGGACACAAAGACCTGAGATCGTTTTTCTAAAACGTAAGATTGCGCGGGGCAACAATAATCCAACAGCGAAACAGTTCAAAGGTGTTTGGAGGAAAATTATATACCCTTCCGACAAATATCTATATCTATTGAATTATTCATCTGCCATTCAACGAATGACATAAACTACAAATACAAGCTTTAATTGCCCACTTTTCCAATTCGTCTGAAGATGACAAACAGGTTATTATTTATGTAGCGAGATTTGTAGGAAAAAGTCTGTTAAAACCTCATTACTGATTTTTTTCATAAGTGATATGATATTATTTAGATGATTCTGGCTCTATGAAAATCATGTGGTCCTGTATTTTCGATACAATTCGTTAAATACTTTTTCATTTTGAATGTATTCAAGAGCAGTTTTATATTTTTTTCATTTCCTAATTAATTGCATCATATATCATGATTTCTATCCAAAATCAGATTTGAAATTATCAACTGATAATAATTTTGTGGGTCTAGTGTTATGATCATGAATATTATTGATTTCTATGGAATTTGTTTTAAATTTTCAATTTATTTGCTATCAAATGAATAAAATAACTATTTTTTTGTTGTGTAGTGTGTTAAATCTAATTGATTTTTTTTTGTTTATATACGTTGTTGCTTCAGCGTTTGATTATTCATATATGCATTTGCTAGTTTTATTTCGTGAAGATTTCAAAGGTTTCATTGTGGATTTNAATCACCAGAAATGCAATACACTTCTCGTCACGCGTTTCATCAACCAAGTTGGCGTCTTCAGATGATGAAGGAAACTATTTTCTTCATCCAACCACCAGAAATGCAACACTTTCCTTGAATCGCGCGTCGAGAAAAGTATTGGATTTCTCGTGATTGGAAAAAGTGCTTGTTTTGGATGAAGCCTCCATATTCCAGAAATCTTTCGAGTACGATACGTAAGCTTTGTAATCCTCTTTCGCATAAGTTTAGCATTTTAGCCTGTTGAATTTCAAAAAAAAAGTTTTCATTCTATCAGCTTAGCATCAATTCTTATCGAAGCATTCTATTCAAAATGGAACATTCGTTAAATTTTCCCATAAAATCTACATGTTTTCGTACTCTTAGGAATTTTTTGAAGATTATTGACAAAAAAACATTTTCCGACTTTTCACCTCTAACAAGTATGGTATGCTCGTTGAATTTTTTTTACACTGTCTTAATCATTCAAAAAAAGTCCAGTCAATGACCTTTTTCCGGAAAGTTTTATAAAATAGCACTCTTTTGTAAAGAACGTGGATTTAGGTTAGGCAAGGTAATTGGTTAGGTTAGGTTAGGTTAGGTCCAAAGTGGGTGGGTCTATTCGACCCTGCACCGCAACCCGCAAGGGTTTATTGTGGCTCCCACCTATTCACACTCGACCAAATAAACCCAGCTTCTTAACGAAGCTGATTAGTTTGTATGGTGAGTGGTCAGGTCAGATGATGAGAGTACGGCTCTGCCGAACTTTAGGATTGGTACAACTGTTCAGTAATAAATTTTCATATACGAAAATTTTCGAAAATTCAGAGTTAATTCCTTCTCTTCTTCAGGCCAACCTGATTTTACACCATCATGAATTTTGTCGAAGTTATCCGAAGAATATATAATTGTTGTATCATCAGCAAATAATTCAACCGATCCCTTTGTTTATGTATATTGAAAGGGGTGAACCAAGATTAGATTTTTGCAATACCCCAAAATGTATTACTCATAAAATCTATAAGCTAATACATATCATAACGTACAATATCAAATGTTTCACATAAATCTAAAGACAAGAGGCAACATTTTCCATTATGTCAATTTCAGATTGAACTTTTGAAATTTTCTTCATTGCTACTGCCTCTGTATCTCTGGAACTGCGAAAATCATATCTACTGGTCAGTATATAAAAGATTATTGTTTTCCGAATAATCGGCTTATAATTTATGCATCAAACTATTTGAAATTTTGGAAATAAACAATAAGAATGGTCGTTTTTGCATTTGTATACATAGGTGTAGCTTCAGTAATTGTCATATTGTTAGGTATTATACTATTTTCAACAGATATTGAGAAAAGTAAAAATAAAATTGGTGGGATTTCTTTTTCGACTACTTTGAAAATATTTATACTAATATCATCATACCCAGCTTTTCTTGGATTCAAATATTTTATTATTCTTCAATGGTCTCAAGGACATAGATTAGACACTTGGATGTTTTTTAGGTCGTCTTGAAGTATTTGGATTGACTGAAGTAACTTCCAGATGAATTATTAGTTTTATGATTATTTTAACTTATATTTTTCACATTCTCATCAATCAATCAATTGTGTAAGAATTATTTTATACCATTCCACAGTTTTTTGGGACTAGTTTAGTTTTTTCAACCAATTTATTGAAGTAAGAATATTTTTTTAGAGACCAGAGGAAAAAACTACCCATTTAGCTCCAGTTCTCTCAGTGCAATGAAAATTGTCAAATGTGTACCTACTGATCGTATAGCGATTAGTGCAAACCCCATCAACAATGCGATTTATCAGCAAAACTTGTTTACTTCTTATCGACGTTAGTACATTGGCAAAAATTAACAACTCTCCTGACAGAAATAGTATTTTCAATAGGAAAAAATATTACGAGGTGGTTTGGTACAAAATTCAAAGTAGATTTCTTAACATTTTCGTAACATTATGATTCCATCATGATACATCGAATTAGGTTTGAAATTACTAACTGATGACGGACCCATAAAAGAATTTTTCGGTTACATCGTTCAGTATCGAAAACAAAACCAAGTTTATCGATTGCTCGGTTAGCTGGATCCGATCTCCTGATGACTTCACAGCCTTTATTCGAAAACATTATGTTATGTATATACCCCAAACTGGAAAGTCCACGGACCCCCAGTTGTAGGGAACGGACAATGAAAGACTCAAACTGCAATGAAGATGTACCATTTTTCGTGTTTTCACATCTAGTTGGTACAGCTCCTCTCGAGTCCACTTCACTACCCCAAAACAGTAGAAGAGGAGCAAGCGTATATGTGGCAGCAGCTGTGTTCTTCCCCGACAGTTCCGATGACCAGACATGCCAGAGTTTGTGCTGATATTTGTTGCTGAGAGAGTTATTCACTAACATCACCTCTTGTGAGTAATGCTGTTGCACCCACGGCTGAGTATACGTATTCCGGACATTCAGATGGAGCAGGATGCTTCAGTTCACGAGCTGCACACTGCCACCAACTTCAAGGACTGATGAAGAAGCTTCTCCAAAAGCTTAAAATTTTCAGTTATCCATATTATACAAATCATGAACCTTCTGCTTCCGACCTCAGGGAGTGCCACATTTACACTCTCAAATTTTTCTGAGTGCAAGTGATAATGACACAAGTGAGAAATAATCGTTATGAAAATGACCTACTCTGTTTGGACTCTAGCCCGAAGAGATATTATGGTGAAGCGCATTAAAATTCGAAATATTCAGCTTTCTCAACATACCTCCACAGTAGGATCTGACGAATGCCTACCGTAATAAGCTACTTCCTTATATTGTATCATGACGGATATTGCATTATACAGGGCGTTTCAAATTCGATCCTCACAACTGGGATCTCGGAAACTATGAGAGATACGAAGATGGTTAAATCGGGGTAAAGTTGCACATTTACCTCACCAACAATATGCCGTTCAGAAAGTTCTGAAATTCCAAGGATATCCGGAGATATCCGGATAAAAGAGAAATTTCGAAAAATGGTTTTTATTTTTTTCTGGCATTATTTTCCGAAGGATTTCAAAATAATTCGCACTTCCACAATGCCAATTTTTCCCTGCTATATAATGGTGTTTTCAGATTTGCTATCCAACGTTTCCTCTCCCGGCCACCATCATCAACTTCATTTTTTCTGATGGGCGCTATATTGGATTTTTTCTGTTTTGAACTTAATATTTGTCATACAAGTGCTTGGAGACATCTCAAAAACAGCGGTTCAAAATGTTACAAAATACACATACCTCAAAAATTGCATGCAGGTGATCCCAAAAGGCGATTAGAATAAGAAGACCTGATGTTCTTGTTTTCCTGGAAAATGTAATTTGGTCAGATAAAAACACTTTTACGAATTGTGGGATATTCAACCGAAATAACGAACACATTTGGAGCATAAACAACCCCAAGCAGTTCCAAGAAATTCGACCACCAGTGTGATTTAGTATTAACGTGTGGCAGGACTTTACAAAGATAGAATTTTGGGTCCTCATTTATTTGAAGGAATTTTGAATGTGTAAACCTATCACCAGTTTTTAAGGTCGATTTTCGAAGACTATTTGGATGATCTACCTTTGGCTAACTATAACAACATCTGATTTCAACATGATGGTGCTCCACCGCACATTCCCAGACGAGTATCTAATTACCCGACTGAAAGGTTTAGTGCTAAATGGATAGGGAATAATGGGCCGGTGAGGTGGTCAGCAAAATCTCCAGACTTAGTGTCATGGATACATTCTTATGGGATACACTGAAAACTCTCTAACAACACACGTTGTTAGAGAGTTCGGAAGATTGAGGAAGAGGGAAATCAATCGTGCAGTGAATAATATTCGGAGAAAGAAACAGTTGTATTATCATAAACAAGANTCAGTAAATTTCGAAATTTCATTATTTTTTTTAAATTTGTATTTCATTTTTTAATAACCATTCATAAACTCAATGTTGACTGCCATATCAATCACTTGTGCTTTTGTTCCATATTTAATTATTCTGTTGAATTCGTTTCTTTAGTTTTCAATCACCATTCATAAACATTTAACGTTTCTTGGGATGATGAAAAAAATCCAAATACAATTTATTGATCAGTTGGTATTCAAATATCTTGATAGTTTTTACTGGAACCTCTGGCGTGAAATGAATCATTTAAAAACACTTTCTCAACACCAGAACAAAAATTACAGTCTCTCGACGCGCGTTTTGCTAACTAAGTTAGCGTCCTCATGAGATCATTATGACTAAATTTAACTCATATGTTAGTTTTTTATATGCTGGTGGTCTAACTACTACCGGTTAGTAGTACCTGCCTCTACCTGTTATTGTTCCTATGCTAAACTACCTGTTTTTTCAATTTCGCTAATTTGTATTTTCGCTATGTAAGTGATCATCTCTACGTATAAGACCAAACAAAGGGGTTTTCGAAATTGAACCTTTGTCGCTATTCATAAAACTCATTCGGCACTTTCCGATTTCCAAGCTTTCGAAGGCATCCAGAAACCTTTTGTCAAGTACCGATCTCAATAATTTTAAACATTTCTCACCTACTTTATGATCGTTCTCTATGACATATTGAGCGGTCCACGAATCCAAACATGCGAACCATGTTTCTTGTAGCGAGTTAATATAGTCCGTTTGGTTTGACCAACATAATTCTTATCACAAACTCGCAGCTTATTTAGTAAATCCCAGACTATTCTTTTTCCAACGCATTGTCTTTTGGAATGCCCAACACTTGTGGAAGTGTACGTGCATTTTTGAAAGCCACTCTTATATTCAATTCACGGACTATATTAGCTCGATACAAGGAACATGTTTTGCATGTTCGGTTTCATAGACCGGAGAAATCCAGTGTCGCTCAACATGCCATAGAGAACGCTCATAGAATAAGTGAGAAATGTAAAAAAATTGTTGACACCGGTACATGAAAACAGGTTTCTGGATGCCTTCCAAAGCTTAGAAATCGGAAAGTGCGGAATGAGTTTCATGAATAGTGACAAAGATCCTATTACGAACAGCCCTCTATTTGGGCTTATATAATCACCAACATATAGAGAAAATACATATCAATTTAGAAGTATTGAAGGAACTGGTAGTTTGTCATAGGAACAATATCAGGTAGTAGTTAGGCCACTAGCTGTGGTGCCATAAGTACCACACCGTCAGCGGCCATGGAGATCCTTCTAGACTACCTCCTCTTCACTTTTTTTCTGGAGAGAGAGAGAGGCTGTATCGACTGCATATAGAGTTGTGCACATTGCTAATCGCACAAATCAAGTCGCAGCATTCTGAAAATCCCACCGGTGTTTCCCAGGGTAGTGTCCTAGGACCTATTCTCTTTCTTTTATTCGTACATGAACTCAACAACAGTAATCGTCAACATTGTACAGTGCAATTTGCCGACGATTGTTCCTTCACTCTGAAGTCTTCAGATTATGAGGGATTGTCGAGTCAGGCCAATCTAGCAGTTGCTGATATGCAAAAATATTGTTCTCAAAGTGATCTCAATCTGAATAGCTCAAATACTAATACAATCATATTTTCACTACATGAGAATGATCACAGTGTTCTGGTCAAAATTAAACGAATTACTAATTATTGCGTCCCTAAATTAATTGTGATAGTTGACTCTCGAACCAAGGTTTTGATTTTGTTTTATTTTTGTTTTTTCTTATAGAGCAACAAGAATTGAAAATGTTTATTAATTTACCATATGCCTCAATGATATCTGGATACAAATGAATTGTATTATGCAAAAATACTAATTTTTTGGTGTCATATTTTTTCACTTCGATTTTATTATTTTCAGTTCTACTTGATTCATACATTTCAATACAAAAAATGTACATTTTACGATCACTGATGACAGAATTTGTAATGAAGAGATGCATAGTCTTTTCTATTACGAAATGATCAATGAGAGTAAAACTATTAGTTGCGTCTCTAGTAGGAATACCACTATTTACTACATATACATTAATCTATAGATATCAATCAGTTGTTTTGTTTCATGAGTACTAGACAAAATGTCAATATTCATATATAAGTTCTATTAAAGTATATTTTGCTTATATTCATACCTGTAGCATCTATCCGTTAGTGGTGTAGCTACCAAACGTCCGGTGTTTCCCAAATATTCGAATCCGTACATAACATCTGTAGTTATCATGGATACCGTTACTAAATTGTCCCTCCAGTAATATCGCAGTTGCGATATCCAATTGAAGTCCGCTATGGAGGTAACTTTCAATTCTTTCAGAAGTCTCACAATATCTCTACCTGAAATAGTTCTCGATAAAATACATAACATGTTTTTTCATTGACCCGAACCAAACGAATTAATTTGACCGGCAAAGATACTGATATTTCGGGAGGACTCTGAATTTATGTTGATTTGAGATACATTCAGAAATTATAGATAAATAACGAAACAGTCTTGATTCGATCGAGTTCGAATGAAACGACCCGAGTAGGGGAAAAACAACTCGTGGATTTTGCACCAGGACAACATACCTGCCCATAGCGCGCTATCTGTGAAATGGTATTTGGTCGCCAGATTTGGCACCTTGCGACTTTTTTTCGTTTCCGAAAATAAAATCTGCTTTGAAAGTCACCCGATTTGAGTCGATGGAAGCGGTAAAGCAAAAAAGGACTTCCAGCACTGCTTCCATCAATGAAAAAAACCGATGGAAAGGTGTGTGGCTTTGGAGAGGGGAGTATATTGAAGGGGAGCATTCGAATGTAGAATAACTTTCCTAATAAAACCCATTTTCGTAACCAGTCTCGTTATTTAATAGCCGTACCTTGTATTTTTTGTTTCCACGTCGAATATACTCGAAATGATCTGAATTCTAGGCCGAAAAAAGAAACAATATTTCAGAAACAAGTAATATCTACGTGTTTCCGACGTTCTCAGACGTTAATAGTGTGTTATTTTATTAATTTATTTATTGCCAAGTGTAAATTCGGTATATAATCTTCATCAATAATCTCTATTTTATCTATTACGATTTAGTGTATATAAATATTACCCATTTAACACAGTGAAAAGTACACAAAACTAACTAATACATTCTGGAGTTGATGGAATATCCTACCTACACAAATCTAGCGTTCTGAATCACATAACAAACAGTCATCAAAAACTTCGTGGAGTTTTGGAAATATTTCTTGAATTCACTTGGCAATTCACCATTTTCAAGGCTGTGGGATAGAAACAACTTGAAATATAAAGAATGAGTTTGAATTGAAAGTGTTTCATTTTCAGGAGAGATAAATTTTCGGGATAGAACTGTTTTGGCTTTCGCTTATTTGATAGATTGAATCAAATAAGCTGTAATTGTGTACTGTCATCGTCATAAAATCATGATATTATGAACGAATTGGGTGCTTCATTTTGTAATGTTATCAAAATTGGTGCTGAAGAGGCAATACCGCCAGTGACGTATTTCGAAACATCGATTTCCGCCATCATGTATGACAGTGTTCCATGTAAGTGAAATTTAGCTCTCACAAATACTATACTGTGTAGCAATCCTGTGAATGATCAATAATTTTTGAATGACTCAATGTCCATATGAAAGTCTGTGTCTAAAAGTAACTTCTTTGCATGATCTACATATCTTGGTAAATAGTTCATTTCGAAATGATTCTTTCTTTCGTTTCTTGAAGGTTTTCTACATTTTTTATATGGTGATGAAGGAGTAGGAAGCCAAAACATGTATTTGCCATGAAGAATGGGACATTTGCAAAGAAAGAAAAAACATTTATAATAGCAAAAATGGTTTGCAAAAATATAAAAATTCGGACATTAACTTGTTAATGTGGAGGTGCTCCATTCTGCTGAAACCATATCGCATTCACTGAAACTTGAGGGTTTCCTGGATGAGGATATGAATTTGCTAAACTTGGAATGACATCATTTTGAAGTAGTGCCAAATAATTATCGCCATTCAAGTTGCCTTCAATGAAAAAGGGACCAGTGATATGATTTCCTACAATCCTTGCTCGAATATTAACCTGTCGAGGGTATTGCGTGTTTTCATCTCTCATCCAGTGAGAATTTTCCGTTGACCACTAGCGGCAGTTTGAGTTCATCACTCATTGCATTGTCAGCTGCTTATTTTTATCTACTTCACATGACCAAACTCGCGAAACTGGTTCTCTATTTTGTTTATTGTTCTTTGAGATATGAGCGGTAATTTAGAAAATTTCTCATGAAATAGAGAAGCTACTTCCTGTTGAGTTCGGGTTTTATCTCCGTAACCAATTATTTATAAAACTGTTATTTTAGCATTTACGTTAATCTAACCATTTGTCAGACTTGAAATCAACGTACTTTAAAGTTAAATTGAAATATTGACAACTAATGATGTTACATACAAAACAAATTGGCAAAGTGTTTTGAACTAACGTTGCCACGGATATTATCTACAGTTTTTTAAAGGACACCATCTAAAAATAACATTGCTATGGTTTTTGCTTACTTTCTCATTATCAATACCTCAACATGAAATAAGTTTTGAGTGTATTTCATCGAATTTCGGTAATCACATGATTTTAATTGATTTTATCTTGATTGTTGCAATAGACTTAAGAGCGATAATATTTTCGAATGAGGAATGTAGAGACCTTTCAAACGATCCATCACAAGTCCATACTTCCTCGTTATTCGACAGGGGTTGAAGGTAGGGGTAGAATTTTTCCGTTGAAGTATCTTAAATTATAATTTAAATTGGACGTGTTTTGTTAAAACATGTACCGTAACCAAATTAATGAATTTATTCCATTTGGCATTCACACACTGTATATTAATAGAACAAAGAAATGAACGGAGCTTGTTTAAAAGAAAACTTCTGAATATAATTATTCTTCAAGGAACTGGGATTATGTTTGATCAAACAAAAAAGAATTAAACGTCAAACCGAATATGTTAAAGGGTTTCGCTTTCATTTGAAAACACGTTGCAGATACGTCAATATCTACTCACAGTGCACATCAATAACAATCAGTGCTTCAACTGTTACTTGATTGTTTGGTTTCAGTTTTCCTTGAACCATTCTAACACTCTGCTCTATCTGTTCAGTGCAAAGTTCTTCCTGTTCCACCAATGATCCACTGAATATAGCATTCGTTACCTCCAATGTCCATTGAACACAGTCGACACACTGGACAATTTGACCTGGCCAATTCAATATCCATGTTGGTCTATCCACCATAGGATAATTTCTAACCGCCTCTTTAGTTATGTCTATGAGAGACTGAATCATTATCGATTCAACTTGAACGAGCCATTTTTCCACCATTCCCTGAAAAAATAATCAGTTATGGATCTAAACTTCACTATTTAAAAGTAGTTAAATTGGTAACTCAATTATTTATGAAAAAAAACCTTTGCTTCTGCTGGTATAATTTTTCCGCTGAATGGTACTTTTTCTTTCTCTGCGCTTATCATTCCAGTAACCTCTTCGTCTTTCGTGAAATCTAATAAATAAATACCTTCAAAGCATTTCTTGAGATGTGGTTGAACTCGAAGTGGATCCTTAGTTTCGGATAAAATTTCCAAAAGTTCGTCATTCGATAAAAAGAAGAATCTACAAATAAAAAAAATCATTATATACAGATTATTCAGTAATTTTGTTCAATTCTAAATATGGAGTACCTATCCCATAGCTAATTGAATATTACCTTCATAGCTTCGTTCATTGACTGATATTATGATCAAATTTGTTATAGAAACATATAAAAAAAGAATGTAATACAAATTATGAAACAACAACAAAACAACAAACAAAACAAAATTTAATTGGCGCCCCGGGGCGATTTCATTGATTCCAGTGGCGCTTTTGCTTTTTCAGCTGCAGGAAAAACCGAAAAAACCTGCAGCACCATTGAATAACAATAATAATAATAATAAACGTCTTTATTGTATTAAATGACATATGATATACAAATGAAATGAAAGTGTTGGCGAAGTCTAGCTCAGAGCTATTCTACTCAACCAACAGGGGTTTGAACCCCGATTTGAAAAAGAAAGTTCACAAGTTAGGTAAAAGATAATTTTAGTAAATGGCTGTACTTAGTAGATAAGAAAAATAATTGAGTGGCTCCGAAACCGGTCTGCAAGTAAGCCCGTTCCAAAATTGAGGGTCGACCCTTTCACTTGTATTGCCAATTGCATATGCAGGAAATTTTCTGATCATAAAAACTTCACTCAATATGAAAATCGCTTACCTGGGGAAAAATAACCTTTTCTTCTCCAGATAATCATTTAGTCCTTTTTGTATTTCATCCAAGAGTCGGTTGTTCTCTCTCAAGTGTTGAAGCATATTACGATAATCAGTAGCAACTAACACATGAGTATTTTTCATAGTGTTATTCTGTATGGTCCGCCACACCCTGTCAACAATTTTGAAATTCCTTGCTTCGGTTGGCATTTGCCTCATTATATCTTCAGAGCTGAAAATTGGTTCCAGGTACATCCATGTAGCTTGGCACTGAAAAAATCCAGTTTAACCGATTAACTCACAAGAACATAAATGGAAAATAAGGGTCGAATTTCATATTTCGTTTCTACTCAATCAGAAAATGATCACTTGGAAAGCTATTTCAGACTTCAAAATTAAAAATCGTTCAAAAAACAACAACATCAAAATCGGAATTGAAAAAGTTACTGCTTTCCTTATCTTACCAAAATTCTGATCTCCAATCAATTTTATTGTTTTCAATTGTTATTATGATTCAGTAATGTATATGTGCTGGACACATATAAATGTAGAAAATACATTAACTTCAAATTTCCAAAAATGTTCGTACCTATTTGATGTTTTTGAAGATTATTGAACGGTTGATTTGTTGACACGTTATATCAATTCCATTCGATTGCTATGATTATATATTTGATGAAAAATTATCATGGACGATAAAGTAGCACCCCATATTGGTATTCTATCCAAAATCAGACACTATATTCATCTCAAGTTGTTGGAAAATATTTATTTCAGCCTTATATACTCACAATTGCATTTTTTCAAATTTGAATTGACTCTCCTCAATAGGAAGACTTATCAGATCGTATATGGTCTGGAATTGGCCGCGTTGGTAGTGCGCCCGACTCACGATTGGAAGACCGTGGGTTCGATTCCTGCCTCGACCAGATATTTTTCTCGAGAGAATTTATCTGGTTGAAGCTGGAATGATTCTGCAACCGTGTTAGGAATCACACGTTAAGAGGTAAGACCTCGTTAGTCCTTAGCTCGCACAAGTTTGAGAGTTGTCGTTCGTATGGGGGCGACAGGTGATTAAGGGAAAAACAGATTTTTAAACAGAATACTGGCCATACTGGCCTGGAAGGCAATGAGGCTGATCACTCCCTTGCAGAGTAGGGTGCTGCAAGCAGCTTCATCGGACCAAAAACTGTCATTGGCATCGCTTTAGACTTTGCCAAACAGAGATTGAAAACCTAGATGGCAAGAAGATTTATGAACTTCTGGCAAAATTTTCCAGGACTGGCTCAGCTCAAGGCGTTTATTCACTTTTCGAAGCTTGATACCAAACAGTTGTTGGACTACAGTAGGGATGAACTACGATGTCTAACTGGCCTTCTTACAGGTCACTGTCATTTGAATCATCATATGCAGAGACTCAGACTGTCGGAAAACATTTTGTGTCGCTTCTGTTTGGAAAATGATCAAACAGCAGAGCACATATTTTATGCCTGCCCCGCTGGGGACCGAATCATTCTTTTAGAATTCGGCAGAGCCATACTGTTACCATCTGACCTGAAAGACCACTCACCATACAAACTAATCGGCTTCGTTGAGGCTGGGTTTATTTGGTAGAGTATGAGTAGGTGTGAGCCACAATTAACCCTTGCGGGCTGCGGTTTGGAGTCGAATAGACCCACTCACTTTGAACCTAATGTAACCTAGACCACTTGCATATAAAAACACTAACATAGTAGTAAAATTTAGTCATAATGATCTCCTGAGACGCTAACGGAATGTGCGTCGAGAGACCGTAATTTTTGTTCTGATGTTGAGAAAGTGTTTTCAATAGAGAATTCAAATAATTCATTGCTATTTAATAAATTGCTATTGATATTTGATCCCTGTCATGAACATGTTTGTTTTTTTGACATTCATGAAGATTATAATATTATTAAAACATACCATGAGCCATTGATCCAGAATATCCTGCATCGATATCAGTTTCTCTTCCCAGGCTTGCATCTCAGCCTCGAAAGCTTTGACGTATGGAGATCCTCTCATCGTTTGAGCTTTGAGAATATGATCGTCCATCATTACCTGTATATCATCAACTGCACTCAAAATATACACTCCCGTTTCCCTGAAGAGATAAGTTGATATTTTAATGCAGAATAGATCCCTTCAATATGATCAATTATTTATGTGCATACGGATTTTATTTATGAAGTGAAAGTCAGATGTACAGTATTACAAAAAGCCTACATATATTATAGCGGCTATTCCATGTNGCCCTCCCCTTTCTTTACGTCACTCTCCAATTGTCAGATTACTGGAATATAAACTTTTTAGCATGTAATTAACTCACCCTACCTCAATCTGACGCGCTCAAGAATTTCTGATGATCATTTTTTTTTACTAATCTGATCCTTTATCCTTCACGGGCGGCCTTATATATGGGGCTCATATTTGGTAGAGGTACTTAACAGGGTACAAGATACCCCCCTGTATATTAATCTGCCGCGCTTCAGTAAATCCCGAAATCCCCGCTTGGGCTCTCCTATGATTAGTAATAGTCTGAAACACGACCTTCTCTTTCTAGCTATTCGTAGGACTTTTATGGACAGACTAAATTTAAAAATTCTTTCCAACGCTAAGTCTACAGAGGAGATGGATGTCGAGCTTACGACTCCAACTAACCTTCCTGTAAATTCAGATCAGGAGCGAGAGCTTCTCAACTCTCCAACTCCTGATCCAATAACGGAACCTAAAAAAAAGTTTGGTGGTGCAGCAGCCAGTAAACGACTGAGTCGTCTCCTCAAGAGCGGCGTACCTTATGATGGTAGTACTCTCGAAAGTATAAATAAATATGCGATGCTTTCACATGCAAGAAATGTATTTTCAAAGAAAATATGAAAAACGAGAATTGAAACTTCTTAGGTTTAATACCACTTTGTATTTGTAATCAACGTTACTGCAGTTTCGTCAAGCCAAAGTAGAACATGCCACTTCTTTTGACATTTCGACAGCTTTCGATGTATGCCTGAATCAGGATGACTCACAGTTCAATAACACATTTCATAAGCGGGATTCAGGTTTACCAATGGATTCACCCCTTAGTCCACTTTGAGCAGACATTTTTATGAACAGCTTGGAGACCACTATAGTAAATTCCAACCTGGGTAAAAACATATTCATTTTCAGGCTGCTGTGAATGATCTTAATAGAAACATATAGTTCACACTCGCAACTGAAATAGAGAAACATTAATTTTTCACACTCGGAACAGAAATAGAGAAACATATTAATTTTTCAGAACTGACCATCACACATAATCATAATGAATTTGAGTTCAATGTATTCAGAAAACCGAACTATACAGACATTACAATCCCAAGTGATTGTTTCTATCCCGACAGTCATAAATTAACAGCCTGAAATTCAGTGTTACACACAGCATTCTCGTTACCTTTGTTACAGATAGGACAGAATAATGATTTCATCGCAGACAAAATCCAGAAGTTAACAAAATGATTTAGTCTTTCACGGCTGAGGTTTTCAGTGTCATTGCTTTTCGAGTTTGAAAGCCGTGGATTTTTGGAATTTCTTCCTGACGTTTCGCTGGCGCGAGTGGCTAGCTTCTTCAGAGGTTTAACCATCATGGATTGCTGTCCGATGAAGCCTTTTAGGCTTTGTAAAGCGTATTTATGCCTTGCCAGGTAATTAACTGAAATAGAGAAACATTAATTTTTCACACTCGGAACAGAGATAGAGAAACATTTCAATTTTTCAGAACTGACCATCACACATAATCATAATGAATTTGAGTTCAATGTATTCAGAAAACCGAACTTTACTGACATTACAATCCCAAGTGATTGTTTCTATCCCGACAGTCATAAATTAACAGCCTGAAATTCAATGTTACACACAGCATTCTCGTTACCTTTGTTACAGATAGGACAGAATAATAATTTCATCGCAGACAAAATCCAGAAGTTAACAAAATGATTTAGTCTTTCACGGCTGAGGTTTTTAGTGTCATTGCTTTTCGAGTTTGAAAGCCGTCGATTTTTGGAATTTCTTCCTGACGTTTCGCTGGCGCGAGTAGCTAGCTTCTTCGGAGGTTTAAGCATCATGGATTGCTGTCCGATGAAGCCTTTTAGGCTTCGTAAAGCGTATTTATGCCTTGCCAGGTAATCAGTTGTATTTGTACCTGCATTTGTATTTGTATTCGTACCTGCACTTGAACCTGGGACATTAACAATCTTGCTGCCTGTTTTCCTGTTCGTTATTCTCGAATTCCTTAAAATGGGGTTCCATATTTGATTGAGGTTCACCGATTCTTCTTTTCTGTTAAAATTATCCGTGTGTTTGTGGATCTGTATTGCCTCCCGTACCAGTCGGCTATGGTATCCCTGGTTGGGGGCAATTAGTTCTGTGTTTTCAAATGAAATTCTGTGGTCTCCTTCACTCAGTACGTGTTCTGCCACAGCTGACTTGTTTGTTTGGCCTAGTCTGCAGTTCCTTTTATGCTCTTTTAGTCTTGTTCCCATGAATCGTTGGGTGGTTCCGATATATACCTTTCCACAAGTGCACGGAATGCGATAGACCCCTGCTGCTGATAATGGGTCTCTTTTGTCTTTAGCCGACCTGAGGCTTTGTTATATCTTCCTCGTGGGTTTCAAGACTGTTTCCATGTCGTGTTTGTCCAATAGTTTTCCAATTCTATCCGTGACCCTAGGGACAAACGGTAGATATGCGCGTGCAACCATCTGATCTGTGTTGCCCTTTGGTCTCATGGCTCTTCTGGTCTCGGAGGCACTGTACCCATTCGATCTCAGGGTCACTTCCAAGTATTTCAGTTTCCTCTCCAGATGTTCTGGTTCACATATTCTCCGAGCCCGTTCCGTTAGAGTGGAGATAACGCCTCTCTTTTGGCTAGGATGCTGGTTCGATAGTACGTGCAAGTAGCCATAAGGTCGGCTTCAATTCAAAAGTGTATATCGCCTAACCCCCTCAGAGAGTCTTCCAGTGGGACATTGGTAAACAAAGACACCTCATCGAAGCTGACCAGAATATCCGTCAGCTCCAGCGTTAAGCCCCTAATTTCACCAACGAAGTCTGCCGAGTCCTTGACGTAGGAGTTGGCCTTTCCCACATGGGGTTGTAGGAGCGAGACATTACCAAGAAATTTGTAACTTTAACATATTTTGGTAAGAGAACTGAAACAATTACGGAATTTCTCAGAAAAAACAATGTGGCATTCAGGCCACATACCTACCAGGTTATCTAATTTCCTTGTCGATGCCAAAGATAAAGTGGACAAGGTGGAGAAATCTGAAGTTGATAAGCTCAAGTGTCCGGAGTGTAATAGTTTTTATGTAGGACAATGTGGCCGAAATTTCTTAAAACCGTATGATGAACATGAAAAGTCCTTCAGACTAAGTAAGAATGAATCGATGTTTCCAAATCATTTCTTGGGATGCAACCACAAGTTCCCGAATCTAAACAATACAGACATTTTTCACTATGCAAGCACAGTTTGGAAACTTCATTATTTGATATCCTTGGAAATTCATAAACATAAGCGTTGCAGATGTAACTTAGTAAATAACCAAATTGGCCTGGTTTACTCACTGGTTTTCAGATTAGCGTACCCACATTGTTACACGTAAACAAAATTCAGGCACTAAAATCTTTAAGGACCGTCTAGTATTACCGACAGTGGTTGTAAAGGAATGTAAGGGTATACATTATTAATCATTTCAGTTTATTGTATTCGTTTGAAAATGTCCTTGTAGGATGAAACTGCAGTAACGTTAGTTACAAATATATGCAAAGTGATATAAAACCATAAAACATTTCAATTCTCAGTTTTCATGATGATATACTACCATCTACCACCAATCTACTACCAATTCAATATCTTCTTCTAAAGAATGCACGACATTCAAAATTATCTACTTGATTTATGTGAATTGAGAATTGAAACAGTCTAAACACATCTTATTGTCATTTTTAACAACTCGTAAATAGCATCGTTAGATTTAATGGCTTTTGATAACAATTTATCAACTTCTTCATATCTGTTGTATCCTTACACGTGGGCTAGAAATAAAATTTTTCAGGTAAATCTAAAGAGCATCATATGCACCAAAACTGAAATATTTCAAATACAATGTGGATGTGAATACAAGTATTGATGTGTTTACATGAAACCATTCAATTATATTTTCAGTAGGTACTCAACAATATAATACCTATATGGTACACATTCAAAGCAAACGTCAACCCATTCTTCTTTCATCTTGGCCAAATTTTTTTCTAGAGCATACTCTTTAGTAGCCGAAGCCCCTATTTCTTCTAGTTGCTGTGCAAATTTTGGTAATCCAGCTTCTATCATATCATTCAGTGTTGAATCCGGGGTTACTACTAACTGAGCTCCAACTATTTCACTTATCTGGAAATTGAAGTTACACTATGTTTTTCTATGTCCATTTACGAAAAAAATTAAAAATCGACTGTAAGTTTCCTGATATACCAGGTGATTTTGTTATTATTAGTGTGAAGTTACCCACAACTTTCCATCCACAGTTTATGACGAGATTGCAAATATTAAGAATTTTACCTGAATTTCGATGTTATCATTTTAAAAACACGATATATCATTGAAACATGTCGAATAAATGACTCAGCATTCTACATTAACTCATTAAATCAGCCAACTGTCCCTATACAAGCATTAATACCGAAAAAAATGTAAAATAAGAGTATAATATTATTCAGGAAAAATTAATTTGTACCGAAACAGGTAGCGTATGGAAACTGGAAAATTGGTTTCTCGGTAAAAATTTTATGACTTGTAAAAAGTATGTTCGAGAAACCAATTTTCCAGTTCCCATACGCCAGCTGTTTCGGTACAAATGAATTTTTCCTGAATAATATTATACTCCTATTTAACATTTTTTTGGTATTATTGCTTGTATTGAGACAGTTGGCTGATATAATGAGTTAATGTAGAATGCTGACTCATTTATTCGAAATGTTTCAATAATATATCGTATTTTTGAAATGATAACATTGAAATACAGGTAAAATTCCTAATATTTGCTATCTGGCAACACTGTTCGCAAATCTCATTCTAAACCCTGTTCGATTGTCCCTCGTCATAAACTGTGGAAGAAAAGTTGTGGGTAAATTCACACTAATGATTTTGTTTCGATAAAGTGTTGAAATGCAATCATTAAAAATGTCGGAAATATTAAAAAAATGTGTTGCTACGAATTAAAAAATTAATTGATATGAATTAATTTCACTCTAATAACCTAAAATTGTTACACATATATGTTACATTTAGTATTAAATGGTCGTTGAAAAATTCTCAGATAAATTCCAGTTTATATAAAATGAGTTTCAAACAGATAGTTACCCTATCCCAATGCCGCCTCTGTAAACCTTTATTGCAGATAGTTTGTATCACAGGTAGAAATTGTCTGAATTTCTCCACTTTAGCTCTGACCATCTCAGCGATCCTTTTCGCTCCAGGATTGTCACTGAATGTTTTAGCCAGTTTATAAAGAGTTCTCCAAACAGTTTCAACATATTCGGTAATTTGATCAGCATCCAAGTCACAAAATGGACCGAAGTACCTAAGAAAACAAGTTTTTTAATCTATTTCCAATCAAATTCATAAATTTGTAGGGCAATATTTGTTAAAAGTATTACTAGTAATCAATTTGACACACAACTCTTCATTATAGCCCTAAATAATGAAAAACTCTAACGAATAGTTCGTGGAAAAAAACGTTTATGCTCTCGACTGGTCCGTCATTAAACAAATAATGTGGTGATCTTCTAAGAAAGAAATGAAACAATTACAATAGAAATCGTGCCGGCTAAAAAAGTTATAAGGGTCAAAAGGTCATGAAAATCAGTTTTCCGCGAATATCTCGCGACCTATGGCTCGGAGGTCAATAAAGATCATTATCAAAATTATTCCTTATACGAATATCTACAAAAAATGCCTTTTGCATTTTTCTGTAAAGTCAATTTATTCCTTATACGAGTATATACAAAAAAATCCTTCTGCATTTTTCTGTAGAGTCAACCATTTTCGGACTAGAGCGCTGAGAAAGCGAGTAGAATGCACTCACATAGGGTATTGTATACCGTATAAATATAAGGCGTCAACTCTATTGCTTTTTATCCACGTATTTAAGTTTTCTTAAAACTTCTAACTTCTACTCGGGCGTTTCGTGACAAATAACCTTATATTATAGAGGTTTCGGAGCCAATTAATTATCAATTAGTTTGTGATAATGCAACATACATAATTGATGGTGGATTTCTTATGCATCGTGTTGCAAAAAAATAATAAATTCAATATTATCATCAACAAATATATTGATTTATCAAACAATTTTGGTCAAAATACTGTTGTCGTTTTTGATGGTTACTCCGATACCAGTAAAAATTTCAAAGCGATGGAACAACTAATACGAACCGTAGCCGTTTCTTTATCTTCTGAAGTGCACTTCAATAAATTCAATTAGGGTTAAAATGGACACCATTGTGTTTGCACAATCATGTCGCTGAAATTGCAAATACTTCTTCTCAAAAGCTTGGAACACTGTTCCGAACCAGAAAACTTTATACACCTCGGCAACTTTTGTTGCTTTATAACGCTCAGATCAGACCTTCTTTGGAGTATTGTTCTCATGCATGGAGCTTTGCCCCCAAACATACCCTGAAGTTGCTGGATTCCATCCATAAAAGAGCCATCCGCCTGGTTGAAGACGATAACATTACGTGCAACCTTGATAGCCTGGAACATCGAATAAAGGTTGGAAATGTGTCTCTCTTCTATAGATACTTTCACGGAAGATGTTCAAGGGACTTGGCACATTTGATTCATTACCAAGAGCAGTACATATCAGAAATATGCGACTGACTGTGGCTGCTCATCGTTTTGAGGTTCAACTCAGTACACCTCGAACTTCACTGTTTAAGAATTGTTTCATCTGAAGAACTACATTTATGTAGAATAAACTTCCTGAGAACGTTTTTCCAAATGGACTCAAATCCAATGTGAATCGCTACTTTCGCACATGCACCGCTCTGAGAGCGCCTCAAAGATTTTCCTGTGGTGGTTGTGTTCTGTCCTTGAAAAAATATCCAGTTTCTTCGATAGCAGAAAATCGCCGAACACGCAAAACACTTATAACTTTTATGACTGTCACCAACAAACTGAACATGTTATACAGCTGAAACTGTAAACATATGTTCAAGACAAGTGTACCAGTATAAAAAAATTAAAAATGCTGATCGAATACACGTAGCCCGCCGAATTTGTATATTCAGCTTATTTTTTGAACAGACCTTGTACATTTTTGTGAGGAGTTTTATTGTAATTACTTTCATTCTTCCTTTCCTTGAAAGTTTTCCACATTATTTTTCAATGATGAATAAAAGTCACTCTGAAGCATTGTAAAACACACCATAATTCATAATTCTCATGAAATTCCAAAACAGTATGCCATAGTTTATCATATGGCTCTACCATACTCAGCATTTTGTATAGATTCATGAATGGTGATGGATCGATATCCAATAATTGTTCCTCTTCGTTTATTTGTTCTGCTTCCGTTTTATCATCCTAAAATTGAAACAATTTATTTGAAATAAAATAAAATCACTGTTGAAAATGTTCTTGGAAATAATCTTATGGGCATACTGTCATTGAATCATTTCACTGTTTACCTCGAGTAATTTAACTATTTCTTCAATCCCAGCTACACTGTCTTCCATCTCTTCCATTGTCAAAATCGGAGGGTCTTTTTTTCTGAAAGCAAGCAACAGTTTTTCATGTTTCTTCAACTTTCCATCGAATACAGTTCTACGGTTCTTTAATATGGCCTCAGCTTGATCACGTTTCATATTCAATCTCTGAATAGCCAATTCTATTACCGACTCCATGTCTTTTGGCCAAACAAACACTCTACAGTTCAACTGAATATCTTCAACTACAATTGAGAATATATTGAACGAACATTTTTTGTGGATAAAATCAGATGTTTTATCGATCTTCTGGGATACTTCAATCTTCCAAAATCTGTAGGTACAGTTCTCCATGAAAATTTTTATATTTTTCCAGATTGTGGATGGTGAAAATACCCAAAATGAAGTCGATAAAAATATACATTTCAGAAAAATTACATGAAAAATTTTGATTTATTAAATATTGTGATTAAATTACTCACCAGTGAGATGAGCATGTTCCATCAAAAAATTCACATTTTCAGCTGTTTTCCTTATTTGTTCTTTCAGATTATACATCGTAACATCTCTACATTCAATAACATAGTTTTGCAATTCCACCAAGTCTGCAACTGTATCTGGACTTCCGCTTACTTTTTGAGACATATCATCAAATGTATCACAAATCCTGCCAATATGAAAACGTATAGTTTTATATCGCTCATTGTATAGTTTGATCCAATTTTTGAATGTTATAATAATAATAATAATGTTAAGATGGTTGTTCTGATTATTGGAGTCCTTGGTGGAATGATGTCTTCTCTACTCTCGAATCTTAAAATCATACCGGATTGTCGCACTAAGGCAGACATCTTAGCCGAACAGATGCAGAAGGCTGTCATTCTTGGCTCACTGCGCTTGCTCAGGGCACATGTTTCTCGGACACAATGATCACTTACCCCACGGTGTGGGGGAGTGGTTATTGGTTGATAATGCTGGCGCGCCATCCCAAAATAATAATAATAATAATAATAGTTATGATTATTGGAGTCCTTGGTAGAATGATACCCTCTCTACTCTCAAATCTTCAAATCATACCGGCCTGTCGCACTAAGGCAGAAATCTTAGCCGGACAGATGCAGAATGCTGTCATTCTTGGCTCACTGCGCTTGCTCAGAGGACATAATTCTCGGACCCAATGATCACTTACCCCACGGTGTGGGGAGTGGCCGTTGGTTGGTAATGTTGGCTCGCCCTCTCGAATGTATTGGGGCTTCCGGGAATAGGGACTGACCAGCACATACTTCGGTTAAAAAACATAATACTAATAATATTATTATGGATGATCTTAAACTTCATGCCTCTGGAGAGAAGGACATCCATCAGTCCTTGAGGGTGATGGAAGAGTACACGCATGCTATCGGTATGAAATTCGGGATAGACAAATGTGCAATGGTCCATCTCAAAAGAAGACGATGCGGGAACTACGGAGAGGATGTGCAGTTCGTAGATGGAAACATCCTACACCATTTGGATGCCGGAGAGATGTATACTTACCTCGGAGTGCAACAACGCCACTCACAAGAGGTAACAGCAGTAAAAAACTCTCTCCGCGGCAAGTATCAGCACAAACTTCGACATATTTGGTCATCGGAACTGTCGGGGAAGAACAAAGTTGCTGCAATAAATATGTTTGCCGTTCCTATCTGCTTGCCGTTTGGAGTGATGTTGGAGTAGTTCCACGGTTGTACTTCCCCCGACAACAGAGAGGCCGTGGACTTTTGAGTTTGGAATGTCTACATGACAAAATGGTACTGGATACAGCCTGTAAAGTAGTCAGGAGTTCGAATCCCCTTCTCTCTCCGTGACCATGAGAGAGCAGCAATTGGAGCATTTCTCTTCAGGGCAGCTGCTCGAGCAGCTGTATAGTTTTCAACACTGAACTAGGTGACCGCAACTCTGTCACCGAGTTGGAACCCGTTCAGCAAAAAGCTCATATATAAGCCGCAGAGATAACCTCACTTCTGCGGAAACACAAGGATAAGCCAATGCATGGGGTCTTCTTCAATAACATTGGAGACCTTGGCTTATCAAAGCGCCTAACTTTTGCTTTCCTCAGGTCGAGTGGACTGAAGTCGGAAACTGAGGGGTTCATCATGGCTTGCCAAGATGGTGTCTTCATCACCTTAGTCTACCGCAGTCGCGTGATGGGTATAGAGGTTCGTGACACAAGGTGCAGGGCCAATCGCAAGGCGTCCGAGACCCTAATGCACTTACTGTTAGCGTGACCGGCATATGCGGTTTCGGCCTATATCCATCTACATAACGCGGCCCTAAGAGTTCTTTATTACTACCTACGGCATTCCTACGATATTGACGAGATACTGGTGTTACCCTAGTTATGGGTAATATTGAATCTGTTGTGGGGAACGAGAAGTGCCAAATTCATTGGAGCTATTCGTTCCCTACCCTCAGGCTCATACAAGCTAATAAGTCTGATGTAGTCCTTCTTGATCACCAGAGCAACTCGATATTAGTCGTGGAGTTTTCAGCTCCTGACGAGACAAATATCGTCCGAAAAGAGGAGAGAAAACGAGATTTTCTTTTCGAACTCCTTAGACTCTATCCAGACCACACTGTCAAGATGGTTGATTTGATTATTGGAGTCCGTGGTGGAATGATGTCCTGTCTACTTTCGAATCTCAAAGTTTACCGGCTTGTCGCACTGAGGCAGAAATCTTAGCCGGACAGATGCAGAAGGCTGTCATTCTTGGCTCACTGCGCTTGCTCAGGGCACATAATTCTCGGACACAATGATCAATCACCGCACGGGGTGGGGAGTGGTCGTTGGTTGATAATGCTGACGCGGCCTCCGAATGTATCGGAGCTTCGGGGGTGGGGCCTGACCAGGTAAAAAAAAATAATAATAATAACAATGAAAGGTCTATAATCACATAAATTAACAAGCAAAGCTGATACTTCCCTCAAAAGATTAAAAATTTCAAAAAATACAATATATGTATACAGTTTCATAAAATAATAATCATTTGGTCACCAAATTATTTTGTCTGAACAAATGTATCACTGTCAACATAAGAAAAGTGAGCTACTCAAATAAATGCAATTTGAATCTTTTTTCAAAGTTTCTCATAGTGTAGGATCTGAATTCCCTGAGCACCGACCGGTTTCTAGTATTAAAGTTGATAATATTGGAGAAAGCTTTCAATTTTTTCATGAAATAATGCGGCATCCCGGTGTTCAAGGCTTTGTGGGTGTTTGTGAGTAGGTGCAGTGCTTTGAGTTTCTCTAGTTGCAGCCAACCTAATTCTTTCATGACCAGTAATATGAGGTCGTATTTTCAAGTGAAAAAAGAAAAATGAAGGCAAGGTCGGTCGGTAGCCAAGCGGTTCGGCGTGGGTGCTTTGTTCACTCACTCGAATTGACTGCCGTGTTGGTCGGTGGTTCAACCTAGTCTGAACGATCGATCTTCACTTGCTACCGTCCAAACCGTGTTAGGAATCACACGTTAAAAGGTTGGACCTCGTTAATCCTCAGCTCGCACAAGTTTCGACTTCTGAGGGTTGTCGTTCGTAGGGGTGCGACAGCTGGTTAACGGAAAAACAGATTTTTTTTAATAGAGAACTGTTTAGAATTCGTTGAAGACGGAGGAAATCATATTGAAATAAGGTAGGGCCATGAATGCTGTCGAAAAATAAAACTAAATTATTCATTTTGGTACAGTTTCAGAAGGCATAATGTCAACATTGATATGAAATTAAAGAGATAGCAATATCTCGAAATCTTTCCGGTTCAAAAATCATTATCTACTGATTATTTCAGTTCATGAGCTGAAGGGATTTCAAAGATAGTCTATAGATCACGATTGAATAGATTTTGAGCTGAATCAATGTCAGGAAACTGAAAAGAGAAGTAAAGATGAATATCATCTGTGTAATGATGATGTTGAAAATGTTTAAAAAAAATTGGCGAATTGAAAAAACTTGTTTGCAATTCTTTAGTTTTTTTTATTTTATTTTTTGTAAAAAAATCTATGACTTTTCAAAAAAAACGTTCTGTTCTCAAAACTTGACACATTTTCTTTCAAAAATATTTCATAACAATAGTTTTAATTGTTTTCTTCCGCACAGAAAATGACACTTGAAATATACCTTGCTCTACAATAATATACCACACCTATTTTTTCATCAAGTCACCCAAATCTAGTTGATGAAAACATGTTTAACTGAGCTTACGTAAAAAATCTTGAATGACACGTCGGCTGAAATTTTGAGTTTTTAATTTTTTTTCAATAATTTTTTTATATTCAGGGTGTATGCAACATTCCAAACATTATTTCAATTATTTTGATCCTTCAAAAAAATTTTTATATGTTTTAATATACTGCAAATACACATTAATCGACTTTTCGATTCCACTTACCTCCTATTGTGATTGCGATTCTCCATTATGAAATAATTCACGATTTTAGTTCGCAGATTATCAACAATTGTATACAAAGTCTCGTTCAATTCGCAACAATCTATGTTGAACAAATTCAGTGGTACAGAACGTCTCAGCTCCATAATTTCTATTTTAATTTCTTCATACTTTCTAATTTTCCTTGCAAAGTCCTGAAAAACGAAAATAATAAAAATAATAATATTCCTGTTGGGAAGCATACTAGAACACTGTTTCTCAATCAGATTAGTTCATATACAAAATTCCTAAGGACCTATGGCAGGAGGGGTTCATAAAGAGTATAACCCCATAAGACCGGTAGATTCGTATATAAATTGTCCGGCAAGAGAACTAGGAATACGTTTTAACAAGTTGTTTAAAAATATCAACAATTCCTTTCCACTTCACAGCATTAAAAATTCACTGACTTCAGTGGAAAACATAAGTAACCAAACCACGCCACATAATTCAATTTCGGTTTCATTCGATGTAAAGAGTATGTTCTTCAACATATCGTACAACGAAGGTAAGCCCCGCATTGTAGATATATTAGATCAAGCCAAAGTAGACCATATCACTTTGTTTGAAGTTTCAACAACTTTCGTTGTATGCCTAAATCAGAGCTACCTACAGTTCAACAACAAATTTCATAAACAGGATTCAGGTTTACTAATGGGCTCACCCCTTAGTCCACTTTTAGCAGACATATTTATGAACAGCTTGGAGACCACTTAATAAATTCCGACCTGGATAAAAAACATATTCATTTTTGGAATAGATATGTAGACGATATTCTCGCCTGTTTCAGAGGTAATACACGACAGCTGAACCAATTTATGACATTCATGAATAATCTCAATAGGAACATTTAGTTCACACTCGAAACAGAGATGAAAAAACAGATAAATTTCTTAGACCTGACCATTACACACAATCAGAATAAATTTGAGTTGAATGTATTCAGAAAACCTAGCTATACAGACATTACCATTTCGAGTGATTCTTTCCAACCAGACTGTCATAAATTACCAGCCTACAATTCAATGTTACCCAGAGCATTCTCACTACCTTTGTCTGCTAACAATCTACCTAAGGAAATTAAAATAATTACACAGATATGTCATAATAATGGTTTCAAAGCAGATACTATCCAGAAGTTAGTCAGAAAATAAAGCCGTAAATTCACTTACAGATTATTATACCCTCAGGTCAAACAACCAGAAATCAAAAAATGGGTAACGCTAACAATGGGGAAGTGGCATTCATTACACATGCCAGGTTATCTGATTTTTATTTCAATGCCAAAGATCAGGTGGACAAGTTGGGGAAATCTTAAGTGTCCGGAGTATAATAGTGTTTATATGGGGCAATGTGGTCCAAATTTTCAAAAACGGTATGCTGAACATGATAGGTCCTTCAGACTAGGAAAAAAAAATGATTCGACGTTTTCAAACCATTCCTTGGCATGCAACCACAAGTTTCCGAATCTAAACGATACGGAAATTTTGCACCATGCAAGAAAGGGTTACTAACTCAATTATTTAGAATCCTTCGAAATTCACAAACATAAACTTTGCAGGTGCAACCTGTTAAATGATCAAATCGATTTAGTTTACTCACCGGTCTGCTAACAATCTACCTAAGGAAATTAAAATAATTACACAGATATGTCATAATAATGGTTTCAAAGCAGATACTATCCAGAAGTTAGTCAGAAAACAAAGCCGTAAATTCACTTACAGATAATTATACCCTCAGGTCAAACAACCAGAAATCAAGAAATGGGTAACGCTAACAATGGGGAAGTGGCATTCATTACACATGCCAGGTTATCTGATTTTCTTTTCAATGCCAAAGATCAGGTGGACAAGTTGGGGAAATCTTGAGTGTCCGGAGTATAATAGTGTTTATATGGGTCGAAATTTCCAAAAACGGTATGCTGAACATGATAGGTCCTTCAGACTAGGAAAAAAAAATGATTCGACGTGTTCAAACCATTTCTTGGCATGCAACCAGAAGTTTCCGAATCTAAACGATACGGAAATTGATTTTGCACCATGCAAAAAAGGGTTACTAACTCAATTATTTAGAATCTGGAAATTCCCAAGCATAAACATTGCGGGTGCACCCTATTAAATGATCAAATCGATTTAGTTTGCTCATCGGTTTTCAAATTGGCACATCCGCATTGTAAACAGTAAATTCAGATACTCAATCAAGCCAAGTACCTCTATTAGTACCTATAGGGGTGGTATATAATGGCTGATGTAATGAACCATTGTTAGTTTGATGTATGAAGTTTGAAAATGTCCTTATAGGACGAAAACTGCAGTAACGTTAGTTACAAATAAAAGTGGTTAAAAACATATCGCTAACAGTGCATAAACTATTACACAGATAACGAGAGACAAATTATATGGGTAAGGAACGACTTTATTATCATCTGCCTGGTAGTTTCAATTAGACGATTTCTGTGTACCATTCACCCCTATCATTCATTATAAATTATAGTTCAGTCGATGATGAGTAACGATGACGGATATCGAGGCATTACTTTCCTTTCATTTCATTACTGAGAAATTTCCCTAATTTAAATTCCAATAATGAGTAATTTTTATAAAGCTTTGTCTGTCGTGTGCTTTATTTCATAAAGAATACTTCACTTTCCTAGTTTGATTTCCCCACTTTTAGAAAAGTTAAGGAGAGTTTTTGAAATAACTTATATGATTTTATTTGAGATAAATAAAAATTGGTATAAATTTTCTACAGAACTAATATTTGGTCCCTTCATGTTCATACAGTTCATCCGTACTCACAAAGGAACTAACAAGTTTTGAGAGTTGCCTCCAATAATAATTATTTTCAAGATGTAAAGAGATCCAAAACATTCCCATTCAGTAGAACTGCAGAACTCCCATAGATGCGCGTTTCACCAATCAAGCTGCTGACTTTCACTTCCTGAAGACGTCAACTTGTATGATGAAACGCGCATCAAGAAGGGTATTACAGTTCTGGTGATTGGGAAAAGTTCTCGTTTTGAATTTATTCTACGCCAGATGTTCCAGTTTTATCTTTTATTGTGTTAAGAGATATTGAGGTAATGACTTATGCTCACTAGATTCAAACTTTGCATCGAATAAATTGCATTCGCAAGTGTATAACTCCCACAATTTGTTTCAATAATTATCGAATTATTCTTTGGGAAAGATAGGTTTCGTAGATCATGAAAATAAATCTGAAAGTTACTTCTTTGCATAATCTACACATCTTTGTATGAAGGTCATTTCTGAAATTGATTGCTTCCTTCCTTTCTTTGGAAGATTTACACATTTTTTTGTATAAAGACAACGAAATAGAAACGCAAAATGCTTCTTTCCCAAAATTTAATCTCTTCTATAAGTATACCCTTCCAAGTTAATTATCCTTATTTTAAAATTTCGCAAAGTTTAGGTCGCGATAAAGAGCCGAAATGTATGTAACAATTTCATGATTATAAAACTCCAGGACAGTGATTGCACTTCGATGAGCCACCCAGGCACTTTCCAAAAAAATACCATGGTTACCATATGCTCGTCAGCGCAGCGGCTGGTGTGATCCAGTAAACCTTTTTTCGACCAGGTAAACCATCAGAGCAGAGAAATCGACGACAGCAGGCGACACTGAACAGCAGAAGACTTTCGATCCTGCTCCACGATAACGTCAGATAACTTTATCACCGGTACAACCTTCGCCAATAACTACCAGGCACAAACGGCCTTCATCGACTTCATTGGAACCCGAGCACACACTTTTCATGCTAACGGATTTCAGTGGCTTGTATTACGTTGAGAAAGTGGCATTGAATCACATGTCGCTTATTTCGATCAAATTAAATCAGTATTCACTGAGATATTACAATTAATAACAAGGGGCTAAACTATCAAAACAAACTAATACAAAATACGTATTATAAAAAATATTTTGAATTTACGAGAGAATTCATGAGAGTGAACCAAAAAGTGTCTTTTTTCTACACTTGTATAAATTCCTCCATTACAATTTTAATTTTTTTCAGATTATGGAAGGGGAAAATAATCAAAAAAAGTTGACAAAGAAAAATATCATCCGTAAACGAAATATGTTATATTTATGAGACAAATGTCGGAAACTGGTAATAAATGAGACGGAGTTGATTATTTCATTTGTTCAGTTTTCAGTTAAAGCAGCGAACATTTTCAACTTTCCGTTTTACGGAAAAGATTCAAACTACTTCTGTTCGAAAGCCAACTTCAAATATAAACTGCCCAACCCTATACACTTTTCATCATTATGAGACCAGAATAAGTCTTAGTAATGGACGTCCTCTCCAGCATCCAAATGGATATTGGAACAATCCCATCTTTTTTTTTTTATTTCATGTATTACTTTTTTTTTGTTTCAGCTTAGGTAGAATCTTGTTGAGGTTGAGTGGAAGAACAACTTAGTAGCACTTGTGCTAACTAAGTTGAACTTCGCCTTTTGTTATGTCAGCAACTAGCTCTCTAATTTATTTAAATATTTGTATGTAAATACAGCTGGTAACAATAAAAACGATCATTATTATTATTATTATATACCTTTGAAAAGTCAAGTTAATCGGAAAGTATGCCACTTAGAAACTTAGAATCAATAGAATATTCATGACTCACCTTCAAAAAAGGAAAAGGTTCTAGATGAAAAAATTCATTTAATTCTTTCTCGGCATCTCCGTTGAGCAAATAGAAATATTGTTCATACGTTGCTAAATACTTCTGAGGACCAATGAAGTTTGGTGTAACTGCATTCACTATGTTTCTATAAATGGCCTCAACGGGTTGCTCATATTCGTGGACGCATTGTAGAAATCGTTCAAATCGTGAAAATTCTGCAAAAAAAAAATTTGTTTTTCCAATTTCAACAATTCTGAATATATATGTACTGAAAATGAGTATGTAGTTCAGAAATAAACTCATTGAAGTTTCTCTATATTATTTTGTCATATTCAAAAAAACATTTGGAAGTGAGATTTCCACTTTTACACTGTTTACAAAACCGCAAAACGAGTTTCGCTGAATAATAGAGCATCTTCATGCGTCACAATACTAGTTTTGTGTATTGTATTGTACTGTATTGTATTGTGTATTGTGAGTTGAAAATGAAGTGGAAGATATTGTTGACCTAAAAAAAAGTCTAGTCGCTACAGGAGAACTAGTACTGAAAAAGTTACCAGAAAATACATATAGATTGTATAAAGCCTAAAACATTATGCTTCACTCAAAAAGAAGGACTTTTGCTTGGCAAATAATCAATGCCATGGGTGTATTTATATATAATGATAATGATTTTTATCAATTCCAGGAAATGAGAATGTTTATAACAGGGATACAATTCAAAATAGTAGTCAAATAAAAGTATTTCGATATCATCACATCAATCAAATGTACAAAACATATATACATAAATACAAACACACATATACTGTATCCGTAAAGTATGGAACAAATTCATTTTTAGGTAAACAGGTCATTTTAAGAAATAATCGGATTACTCTAGCTGAGCTGATTCCAAAAATGTATCACATGTTGATTCCAATTGGTACAGGGTGGACAAAAATACAGTAGTTGTGTGTGTGCTAATGAAGTAACGCGTAACATTCTTTATTAGGTAAATTAACAATATTATCAAAAATACTTATTGTCTAGCGGCAATTGGTTTAAATGTAACACCCNTGACCTGTTTAGCTAAAAATGAATTTGTTCCATACTTTACGGACACAGTGTATATACACATATACCATGACATACATACACATTTTGTGTTTTGATTCATTTTTATTTTCTCTGGAAGATTATTATATATTTGAACTCCCAAATGAAATATTGATTTCTAAGAGGAATCAGTTCCGTGAATCTCAAATGAGATTCCACCTCTGCATAGTAGAAGTTCATTAACTGTTCATGAGTTAGAATAGTCTTCAAATTATAGTTCACGTAATAGATTGAATTAAAGTTAGATATTGATGATTCGCAATGTGTTTTGAACTCGAGATTTTTGTCTAGTTCAACACCCAGGAATTTCACAGTATCACTGGTTACAATTTCTTGATTAGATAGTTCAATCCTGATGTTAGGCTGTCTGAAATTTCACGATAGTTGTTTTGTCTGGTTTTATTATTGTAGAGAAGAAATAGTATAGGGCCTGAAATAGAGCCTTGTGGGACACCTACATTGACTTCTGAGTTTGAAGATGATGCATTTTTTACTCAATTATGATTTTTATACTTTATGCTCATATATTGCACACAATTCCTCAAAAATGATACTACCCAGTCTTGAGAAACTCCCTCAATCCGTAAGAATGCAGTTTATCTAGTAGTTTTGTAATATCGACACAGTCGAACGCCCTACTAAAGTATATGTTTCAAGGAGAGATTGCTTTTTGGGACAGTCAGGTTTTGGCCTAAAGAAAATTCCCACATTTTTTGTAGGAAGATAGAGAAATAGAAAGGCAAAATCTTTCAAAATCAGTTTTTGACTGGTGGTTTAATGAGTAGGTAAAAACAATAAGGAATGAAAATGGAACGGCGAATACAAATGAATCATTTTATAAAATGATCAATGAAGTTTGGTAGTGCATTCAGATGCAAATATCTGGAGGCCTAGTATGAAAAGCAGATCAAATATTATACTGTGAGTGAAGAAGTATTGAGGTCTTGCTCAGTCAATAAAATAGTCGTCAAGTTTTCGACGAAGCCCGTACAAATTCCGTGCGTGTCTTACACAGGAAATGTGATAGTCATCAAGAGAGAACGTGTCCCAAGCCAGTGCGATAACGTCAAATAGTAACTAGATAGACAAAGGGGTGATCGGATGAAAAGGTGGAGACACATTTGTTCATTCGCCAAATCGGAGGTGAATTCGCCAGAATCTGGGAAACGATGAACTCACCAAAATTTAGAAGACATCAAAAATAGAGGGGTGTGAAAGAATACAGTAAGCGGTTAAATTATGAAACAAATACGCTAGTTCACAAACAATGTACAGCTACCGGACTGAGTCATGGCCGGTGGGAGAAATCGTATCTGCGTAAAAATTGGATCGGTGTACTCATATGACAAAGAAAGTATTAGGAAAAAAGGAATAGAAACTTTGTTTTGCGATTTTCCGTTTACGGCTCGAATAATCTAACAGACTGATAACAGATTTCTACACATTTACTGCACATCTTGTGGGAGGGGCTTCCCACCGGCTGTGACGTTTTGAGATATTAGGTCACTGGTTTTGACGTAGTGATATCTTTGCTGACATTTTCAATTAAAATATAGGTCCTGTAATACTTCATGTGGAAGTTCTTTCAATATTTGAAATCTTCGTACTGGATGACCAAGAATTATTTTAATTTCAGTGGGAAAATAACTTCATACGAAGTTAAATGAAATGGAATATTCAAACAGCCATCCATCAGTCTCTCGACAATAACTTTGATGAAATGAATGAAAATACTTTTATCTAATTTCCACTAGTTATTTTATTTTTACGACGGTTTCGGGTTTTATCCCATTATCAAGTACGAAAACAAATGATAATGGGATGAAACCGGAACCGGTCGTAAAAATAAAATAACTAGTGGAAATTAGACAAATGTGT